AACAACTATCTAAATAAACGAGCGATTTATTTTCATTTCAAATGAACAGCAGCATGTCATAGCTAATGTGAGAGATATGATTGACGGCCGGATGTTATTCTATAATTGAAATTAATTTATGTCGGGATAATATGACGTTTTTAGATGAAACGCAGATATTGATTAAAGCTAATCGAATCGCAACCGCGATAGTTCGATGTCTTAAATGTCTGCCGGCTGAGATTCCTCAAAACATTTAATGGATCGTAAATGAAATGTACTTGCCTGCGCTAACGGTTTACGCAGACGGGGCACCAGTAGAGGATGCTAAGATAAACATGAGGTCAGGTCAGTTAGCACAAGGCAAATTCATGAGGAATCTATCACAATGATTTCCAGGAGGACCCGCGTGGAAGTCACATTACTAACAAACCCTTACCCCAATAGAATAGAATAGAAAATCATTAATTCAAATAAACTTACATTGAAGCACTTTTGAATAGTCATTACATTTTTTAATCTACCGCTCGTTCGGAAAGCTGTCTCATCACAAGAAGAACGAGCAAGAAACTTGCGTATTGCTCTTTTAAATAATTTTATTATTACTTTACATTTTTAAGTTTAAGTGTGTGAATACAAACCACCAATTAGCACTAATTCTATTAAATACTCAAATAGAAAAAAAATATTGAATATATAACCCACTGGTTAAACAATTAATAAGAGGAAATCAGTCATAGTGATTAGAGCAGACCAGTCCCTACAAGCAGCACCCGTTCACGAGTATGACGGATGAGCCAGCCATCACTGCGCTCGACCATATTTTAGGGAGCCCAATGACCCGGCACACCACGCCGCCATAAGTCTGGACATTTTAGTGAGCATGACTACTCAAAACACTAGACTACGTCAAAGCTACTTACAATTGCCATCTGATAGTTATAGTATTCACATTTTACATAATGCATGCGGCAATCAATACAAAAACCGCTACGCTTTCATATTTCTAAAATCAATCAATTAAATCAAGAAAGCAATGACGACCAATTCCACAATATTAAAATTACAAGAGCAATTAGAGGGATGAACTTCTTAGCACTCCATGGATTCCATTCTTAGCAGTCCATGTAGTAGAGAGGCTAACTCCGAGCAGTTCCCGGGACAGGTGTTAAGGCCCTTTTGGCAACGTATGTTAGTGTTAACACCTTCACCACTCGTGTTCCTCTCCCTGCCCAACCAAATCTGGTAGCAGCCTGCTAATGCAGCTTTAGATACATATATATTTAGGTATTCAAAGCTACATATTTTTTATAGGGGAGCTTTGGGCTATAGTCAGGTGCTTGGACCTGTAGCACTGCGACCATCATAGATCTTAGCCACAAAGCTGCATAAGCTGAGCTCCTACCTGCATTCCGAATTTAAAACCCGTATTGGCGTATCTGTAAAAATATTTTTGTATTTAAAATTGTACACTTGCCAAGTATTATTCTTAAAAAAACGGATCAAAACAGTCAACCAATTGTAAACATGTCAAGTGTGACTGTCACTCAGCGCCGGGGTGACAATAGTAATTTGACAACTTGTTGTGAATACCAACGATATCTCTTTGTCTGTCTGTGTAAATACGCTAATTTATGTAGACTGGTTAATCTTCATTAAAATATTAAACACAATAATTAAGGATTAACTACTTAATTTTAATTGTTAAAGATTAACTACCAGATGTTTTATGTTTTGAAGTAGCATGAAGTTTACGATATAACGGCGTTTCTCGTCATTTATGATTACATTGTTATGTGTGTTTAGCCACAGATTCACAAAATAGCTTTCAGTCTGTTCAACGATGTAATATTATGTTGTCTGTGGTTCAACTACATTGATTAATATCCCTAGCCAATTATACACACACAGCGCCATCTAATCTTAAGATTTATTCTGGCAGTTTATTATAAAATCTGATTTATTTTGGCACTCCAATAAATATTCATTTATTTATGTCTATTATCAAATTGGCATAAATAATTTATATTCACATAAAATTTTCGAAAATCTAATTCTACATTCCAGTAGATTCTAGTAGTTCTATATTCTAATTATAACACTTATGTAAAAGAGCAATACGCAAGTTTCTTGCTCTTTCTTCTTATTTGCGTTCAGAATGAGTGGTAGAATAAAAGATATAACTATACAATGCTTTGTATTAACTTTATTTGAATGAAGATTATTACTATATCTATTTAAACTCCGGTAGGAATTTCGGGATATCCAAATCATTACATAGTATAAATCAAAGTCGCTATCGCTGTCTTTCCGTCTACGCAACGGATTCTGAAGCGGTTTTTTTAATAGATAGAGTGATTCAAGAGGAAGGTTTATATGTATAATACATGTACACCCGTGCGGAGCCGGGTAGGTTGGCTAGTAGATAATAAATATAACAATTTTTTAATATAGGTCGTAGGAAATTATATGAAACATTGTCTTATGGTACCTTGCCCTATAAAAGAGGAAAACAAAATTAATCGGTCAATATTTATTCCTACCCTAAAATAACTCGTTCTTGTTATTGTTAGTTACATATCAGTAATAGGTATTCTCAACTAACAAGCATATTATTGTAAACATAGGAGCCGCGGGTGGCGCTGCCCGCATATCTTCAATTAGTACGCACGTCGCAATTGATTGAAAGCTTTCAGAGCTACAACCGGATACAAATTGGTATTTCATGTATTTACGTTGCTAAGTGGTAGTGCGGCGCGGGAAATACATTTTCGCGAGGTAATAGTGAATTATAGATTGGGACACACTTCCAGATTTTGTGTTCCCGGAGAAAGACAACCCCGGATTCTTCAAGACTATGGTGAATAGATTTCTTCTGGGTACATCATAATTCTTGCCATCATTTAACATTATTAATAAATTCAAATTCAAATTCAAAATATCTTTATTCATGTAGAATTTTGACTATTACAGACTCTTATGATATGTCAAATCTACCGTCAGTTCGGAATGATATCGAGATGAGAAGAACTGACAAGAAACTCAGCTCGTATTTTTTTTAAATAATAGTGGAACATGTTTTTAATAATCATTAAAATTCAAATTTGGGAGAATAGAGTGACCACCAGCATATGCTATCGCAAAGAACAAAAAACTTAGGTGAGCAGATGGTTAGTACCGGGTTGCAGAGGTCCCATAGCAAAGCAACTTGTCAGGTTGACCTTCACGCAGCCTGCAAACCATAGTAGTTCTATTCTGTTATAGTGTTTCGTTACCATGGACAAACTGATATTTCATCTCACCCTGTTATACTGCACTGGTGCCCTGATAATGAACTCCATTCACCATTCTATAATTTTGTATCTTTCAAATCTACACTTATAAATAAAATTGGAATGTCTATTTGTAATATTGAATTAACCGTTTTTTACTACATGCATATGAATATAAATACGGTACATACCAATATAACATTTTTTTTTATTTTTGTCGATCTGTCTGTTTGTTCCGGCTAATCTCTAAAATGGCTGTGCCGATTTTGACGGGACTTTTTTTGGCAGGTAGTTCATGTAGTAAGTAGTAACTTAGGCTACTTTTATTTTAGAAACATTCTTTTATTTTAGAAAAATAAAGTATAACTCCACGCGGACGAAGTCGCGGGAACAGCTAGTATTTTATAAAAGGTGTATATTTGTTCGTCTATTCACACTATCGTATAACAGAAGTGATATTAGATTCTTAATCAGGAATGGTTTTTCAGACAGTGAAGTTCAAGTATATAGGTATTGTGATAAAGTTTTTTAAGACGGTTATTCATTTTTTTTTTTATTCAAATAAACTTACATTGAAGCACTTTTGAATAGTTAAAACTAAAACATATATCATCTTTGTGTTTCAACACTTTCTATGAAATTAAGAAAATAGCGCCAAAGACAAATTTCAAAACAGTTTAATAGCTAAAGTGATTTTTAATTTTGACGTTTTTGTTAGCGGGTGCATCAGTATCTACTCGTATTTATTCTAGAATTTTCAATTCATTTCTTAAAATAACGTTGCTAAGCATTTTAAGAGTAAATATATTTTTCACGCGCGCTGTCGACGGCCACAAACACATCAATTACTAAAGCTAATTCCGGTGTCGAGAAAAATAAAATTGAAGATGTCTATGACCGGACCAACGGCAATAAATCATTTGCTTACAGCGCTGGCGACATCAATAATGTTATATCAATTTTGAATTTGGAACATGTTATAAAAAAATATAACTACTCACTCACTCATTGAGCAAATGATCACTACGTTTAACTAATATACCAATATATAGGAAATATTGTTAATAATAAACCAAATTTAATAAGAGAGACTGCGACTGACTTTTTTTTTATAGTTATTCGTTTTAGTCTGATGAGCGCCCCGTCTTGTGTATTAAATCTGAGTGACCAAACGAACCAAAATGCCTATTTCAGATTACATAAAATAAGAAAATAATATTTACATAAAAAACTGGCAGCTACCCCCGCCTTCGTCTGAAATATAATCGTCTGGAATAAAATAGCATTAAGATCCGTTTAGCTGCTTAGTTTTATGAATAAAAATGTTCAAATATGCTTAAATAAAAAAAAATCTGATATTATGTTAATTTAATGTCCCGATAAAATTCTTTTACAGCAACTTTTAAATAACGTATTTGTAATCGTAAGATTAGATTGTAAATAAAGGAAGGTGTAATAATAAAATAATGAATTGGTAATAACGCTAATAACATTTGTTCCAGATAATGGGCGTTGTGAACACCCGAAGATGTGAGACCAATGGAAGGAGGTGGAACGCTATAATGCCAAAAATACATTTAAGGAACCGTAATTGTAGTAACTAAGTTAATAATAAGTTTTAGCAATAGCAAGCATAGCCAAGCATTTAACGAACTTAAGACCGCAGATAGAGAACCTGAGGTTCGCAAGGTGGACGTCTAAGTTAACAATATCATCAAGTTAATAAATGTGCTGGGCATTCCAATGTAATTAAACTGTAAAAATGTAAGTGAAAGACAACAGTTAGAGTCGGGGAATAAGAGCGAGGGTGAGCTGTAGCAATGTGTTGCTGAGCAGTGCAAGCCATCTCGATTTAGATATTTATCGATGTTAATAATTATTAAGTGTTTTATAATAAAGTTTTGTATGTAACACCTCTTTTATTAAGCGCAATCCTTCAAATACATGAAAGAAACAGGTAATAAGATAAACCCGATTATAATATTAATAAAACGAAAATAAACATTGAAGTAAAAATAAATATAGTAACGAAGCAACAGTCTGCAACAACAAAACTATTTAAACCAATAAAAATAAGCGTCAATAACTTGACTATTTCAACTAAAAATTTTTGGCACGCACTCCAATGATATACTGTTATGAAAATGTAATAGAACAGAACGCGTTACTAAATATCAACATAAACAAACCCAGTATAACGTCACGATGTACAATATGTGGTGGTTAACCGCTATACAAATAACTGATGTTTACGATACTCCTAAATAGTCGTAGCGTTGGCCAGGTTCCAAATGGACTGACTTCAGTAATTGATAAATACATGCCTCGTTGATAACCTTAGATCTGTGAATGAGCAGTTTAAGGATGGCGAAACATATAGACATCGATATCTAACGTGATTTATAATAGTCATGATTGACGAAATTATTCTACTGCTGTTTCTATCTGAAAATGCGTTACAATATAGGATGACTTTTGGACTTCGTCACCTTTCATATTTTCAAATAATAATCTATACCGAATCATGTTTATTTTTATTGTCAGTGTCTGATCTATCTGTACTAGATTCTTTAATGTCTGAACTAGATTCAGTTCTATTTTCTTCCATGGATTGGGCTTTTATTGGCACATTACTGTCCACTGATCTAAGGTTTTTTATATTTTGAATAGTCTCACGATTTTCTAAATTATTTTGAACCTTATCTTCTTCGTATCGCACACGAATAAAACGTCTATTCAAACGTGAAGTAGATGTCGCTTCGTCTTTCGCATTTAACGACGACCTATCTGGAATATCATCATCTGTTACAATATTTTCTACATTAAGACTTTCTTTTGACTTTCTATCTTTACCAAGTAGTGAACTTTTGACAACACGTTTAGAATTCTCTATCGAGGTTTTTGCAATATCTATTGTAAGCATATGCTCTTCATTTTCTTCTTCCATAACTTCTTCAGAGTTAGTCCTGCTTATTTTTGCAATTACGATTTCTTTTTCTGATTCTTTGCTATTTACATCTTCAGATGGTTCTGAAAATTTCTTTAAGAGTAGTGATGTAGTCGCTTCCTCTTCCTCTATCAGTAACACATCTTTTTCACTAGTTTTAGAGCTTTCGCCGAATGGTTTGACAGATTTCGGTTGTTTCTTGTGAAATAATTTCTTTGCTTTTTCTATGAGGGTAGAAGGTTTTTTTAATGCCTCTTCTACATCTCTAGGACTTCTCGGTTCAGATGTATTTTTAATTTCATAAAGAGACTTACTCGATGGTTCTCTAGACTGCTCTAAATGAATTTCGCTTTTTACTTTGTCCAGAAATCCTACTTCTTCAGTGCTTTTTATCATATCGTTACCATTATTAAATGTCTTACTTTCAGTCCGCATTTCTGTATCCGCGGAACCCATATCTGTACGAGACTGTCCACGATCTAATATTCTGTTAGGATACTTATCTCTGGAAGTGTCTGACGAAAATGCTTTTTGTTTAGATATTTCTGTATCTATTTCTTGTTGAGATACTCCTGCAATGTCTGTAGGAGTTTCAATTTGTTCAGAAGAAACAATAACTGTTTCTCCTATTCCTACAGGTGATGCAAACGAGGATACAGTTTTAGATGGCAGCCGTGGCTGAAATGGACTTGATCCAGGTGGTCCAGGAGGATCTTGGCGAGATGACGTAACGTCCTCTTTGAAATGCTGTCCTTTATTCTTAGCATTGTCTGCCTGATCTGGCTCCATACCTCCCTGTGTATGTCCACGATCATCATCAAACTTCATACATTTAAAAATGATACCTTTACTTATAGGGAAATGTTCTAGTAGGTACTCCCAGTCGGTGAATTGAAGCGTAAGGACTCGGGATTTGGTGATCGTTTGATATGTGTATGCATAAGGTGTATTGCGGATTACACCTTCATACTGCGAACGAAAGATATTAATATATTAATAATAATTCATACTAATATTATAAATACGAAAATATATATTTGTCTGTTATATTTTCATTACTAAATTAATTTCAATGAAATTCGGCATGAGGATCTGTTCATATAAGTTAAAATAAAAGTAGCCTACGTTAATCCTTGTTCCATCAGCTACCTGCCAAAAAAAGTCCATCAAAATCGGTCCAGCCATTTCAGAGATTAGCCGGAACAAACAGACAGACGGACAGACAGACAAAAATTTAAAAAAATGTTATTTTGGTGTATGTACCGTATTTATATTCATATGCATGTAGTAAAAAACGGTTATTTCAATATTACAAACAGACCACTCCAATTTTATTTATATGTATAGACGTATATATTACGCCGACCCCAAATAAATGGGATAAGAAAGAGATGTCAGGACAAAAGTTCATTTGTTTTACCATTCCAAAGTAATCTCCCGTGGTGAACACCTTCGAGGAGTTGTGGTTTGATGCCGTTTCCTGAACCTGGCCCGAATGTATTATATACATGGAGTCAGTAATCTCGCTCTCCTTCACTACATACATGCCTGAACATACAAAAATAAATCTTAGAAGTTTGGTTTTCAAGCGATGCTGGATAGTTATCATCATTACATAGTATAAAACAAAGTCGCTGTCTCTATCTGTCTAGGTATGGGGCCGTTCAAGTATTACGTAAGCACTATAGGGGGGCGGGGGTCTTTTCTTTGCTTATTTTGGATGACATGGGGGTGGGGGAGTCTGTATGATGATTACGTCATCGGTCGTAATTTACTTTTTTACACGAATGGCAACCCTCACATTGTCTTTGTTAAAAAAACAATACATTAATTGAGAAATGTTTACGTAAGCATGGGGGGAGGGGTAAGAGCTTTGCTTACTTTTGCTGACAAGGGGGATGAGGGGTAAATAATTGTGATAAATCTGCTTACGTAATACTTGAACAGCCCCTATAGACAGCGACAGCGACTTTGTTTTATACTACGTACTGATGTATGCTTAAATCTTTAAAATTACGCAAGGGATTTTGAAGTGTTTTTTTATAGGTCGAGTGATTCAAGAGAAAGGTTTATATATATAACTAGCTACCCATCCCGGCTTCGTACATGTGTATGTATTATACATATAAACCTTCCTCTTGAATTATTTATTTATTTTATTTATAATTCTTTATTGCACCAATATTAAAAGTAGATACATAAAAAGAAAATAATATATAACAATAGAATTATCTCATCTATTAAAAAAAAAAACCGTTTCAAAATCCGTTGCGTAGTTTTAAAGATTTAAGCATACATAGAGACAGAGAGACAGCGACAGCGACTTTGTTTTATACTATGTAATGATGATAATATAGAGTAGAATAGAATTATATTAATAGAAATATTCATTACATCACCAATCAGTGATGATGCTAAGAGCACTATATAAATGATTATCTATACATAGAAATAAAATTGGAGTGTTTGTTTGTAATATTGAAATAACAAACAGACAAAAATTTTAAAAAATGTTATTTTGGTGTATATACTTTATTTATATTCATATGTATGTAGTAAAAAACAGTTATTTCAATATTACAAACAGACACTGCAACTTTATTTATATGTGTAGATGTATAGATTAAAGATTTAATAAATATATAAATATATATATAATATACGTAATTACGTATGTAGTAAGAGTACCTGCATTATAAATATACAATTGTAAATGCCCCACGAGTTGCCTCAGGAACGCGGGTTCACAATACTGAAATATGGGATTCTGAAATTAAAATTGTCAACCGGTGATTACGATTGTTATAGCTTTCCGTAAAGCTTTGTTTATTTTTTATTAATACACAATAATTTGCTACTCAGTTAAGTACACAGTCCTATTTATCCGAAGTAGATATCAAATTCAAAAATAATTTATTCATGTAGAACATTTTAGCCGCTTATGAACGTCAAGTTTTTACATTATATTTTTTTTTACCTACTGTCCAGTTCGGTATATAGATCCAATTGAGAAGAACTGGCAAGAAACTTAATTGAATTACTTTTTTTTTAAAGCCAGTTTATTTACAATGCATAGGTATTTATATAGGTGTCTATGTCTAACAGTAATAATAATTCAAAAATCATTTATTCATGTAGAACATTTTAGCCGCTTATGAACGTCAAGTTTTTACATTATATTTTTTTCCCTACCGTCCAGTTCGGTATATAGATCCAATTGAGAAGAACTGGCAAGAAACTCAATTGAATTACTTTTTTTTAAAAGCCAGTTTATTTACAATGCATAGGTGTCTATGTCTAACAGTAAATGTTAATATATGTTAAAGCTTTACTTCACTATGTAGTACCACAGATAACATAATATTACGTAGTACTATTACGTAGAGTTGTTATGTATGTACATGTATAGAGTTTCTTGCCCATTTTGTCCGTTTTTGTACACGAAAAATGAGGCGTTTTACAATGATATTTTATACAATTAGGTATTGTTTTGCAGAAGTCTATTACTTTACTTAAGGGATTTATATTATTTAGTTTAATTCCCTTTACCATTAGCGTGAGTACGACCACAAATATTTAGTGTAGAAATTTGACCACTTACTGGAAGCGTTACGACTATTGGTGATCAAGTTCGGTTGATTATTGAGTTTTATGGATGATGCACCCGTCTGCGCTAACGGTCAACGCCGCCGGGCATCAGTGGATGATGATAAAATGATCATGAAGTCAGGTCAGTTAGACCATCTTGGCAAATGGCAATTTACCACGATGGTTTCCAGAGGGAACCGTGTGGAGGTCTACCTGACATGGTACATTGCTGGGAAAAGCGACCCACATTACTAACGATCCCTTTCTCGCCCAAATAAAAACGATTTCCATTCAATGTGATTCAATATATGTAATGTGATGAAAATGATTTTAGTGATAAGATGATGTAACGGTAAATAATGGTAATTGGTAGTTTGTATTCACACGTTTCGACATGTAAATGTAAACTTACAAGGATTATTTAAAGCAACACACAAGTTTCTTGCTAGTTCTTCTTGTGATGAGACAGCTTTCCGAACGAGTGGTAGATAAAAAACAAATTGTTATGACTATTCAAAAGTGCTTAAATTAAGTTTATTTGAATAAATGATTTTCTATTCTATTCTATTCTAATGATAAAATGATGTGCTACTTACACTGGTCAGATGTGTTAAATAAGCTGCAGACATGACATTCAGTTTGATGCACAACGGCGCAGTACTCAGGAAGTGCGGCACTTGCTCGCCGCGCGACTCCCGCCATAAATGCAAAGAATATTTGTTCACAATCGTCACTAGGTTTTTGGATACTCGGTTGTTTTTCAGAAACTCCTAAATCGATGTTTAATATCAATAATATTAACTCAGGACATTTCACATAGTGCCACCCAGACCCCACTGATCGATCCCGCGTCGAATTCAAAGGAGGATCGAAATTACGACGGCCTGTGCGCAGGTTCGAAACCCTAGCGGTGCCCTCAGACTAAAGTCGTGTCCGTCAGGTGGGAGTTGGCCTTCAGCCGCTCCATAAGGCCTTGTTTTGGTTTGGGATGTCATATACACTCGAGTCCTTCCGCGTGTTTGGAGTGCCATCTGCACTCGCCCGCTATCATTCGGTGAAGCTGTAAAGGCCAGCTGCGGCAAATAGCATTAGAAGCAAAAAAACAGCAGTGTCACCTAGTTCCAAGTGAAGTTGAGCTTATGTTTTGGGTACTAGACAACTGACGTAAATAGTTAGATACATTTTTTTTTGTAATTACACACATACATACATAAACAATATATATATAGAAAACACCCACCTAGAGCTTATGTTATGGATACTACATAACTGATACAAATATACACTTATTTTTTTTAAATACATTCGTATTATACATAGAAAACATCCAGACCGATACAAACAATCATACTGATGAATACAAATGTTTGTACCGTGCGAGGAATCGAACCCGCGACCATCGGATACCAAGTATGGCTATGTGCTAAACATGATATACATAGATAACACTCAGACCGATACAAACAATCATACTGATGAATACAAATGTTTGTACCGTGCGAGGAATTGAACCTGCGAACATCGGAATTAAGGCGGTCTGCTAAACCACTGAACCGCTACAGCGTCAACTATTTCGTTATTTACTAGTGAATTCGCCACGAATGTTAACTCCCTTTGCTCTCATCCTAACTCCAGGGTATGCCCTCAAAACAGCTCAATATATAATTTCAATAACATTAAAATAAAAACATATATTTATTAATGTGTTTTGTTTATCTATACATATAAATAAAATTGGAGTGTCTGTTTGTAATATTGAAATAATCGTGTTTTACTATACGCATATGAATATAAATACGGTACATACACCAAATATTTTTTTTACAATTTTTGTCTGTCTGTCTGTCTGTTCCGGCTAATCTCTGAAATGGCTGGACCGATTTTGGCAGGACTTTTTTCGCAAATAGCTAATGTAAATTTTAGAAAAATTATATTCCACGCGGACGAAGTCGCGTGTACAGCTAGTACAAAAGAAATTAAGACAGCGTACCTGCAACTCTAAATATTTGCAGTAGAAACTGACAGATCTAAATGACTGATACTGAATGATGTTGGAGAATTCACCCACGTACACCATGTACACCATCGTTGATATTATCTGAAGAATGGACACGAAAACCACCTGGTGAAGAACAAGGAAGGATTAAAAAGTGGTCTGCGTACCTTTGTGTTACCTATTTCAGACAAATTCAAATTCAAAATATCTTAATTCATGTAGGTTTATTACAAACTCTTATGATATGTCAAATCTACCGTCAGTTCGGAATGATTTCGAGATGAGAAGAACTGACAAGAAACTCAAGAGGTCTCAAGGGTTCTTCTTATAGATGATAATAGAATGGTGCACCCGCCTGCGCTAACGGTTTACGCTGTCGGGGCACCAGTGGAAGATAATAAGATGAGCATGAGGTCAGGTCAGTTAGCCCATCGCTATGAAACATGTGCTATGAATTTAGTTATAAAACATGAATTTATAACTAAATTCATAGCACTGACAATGTTAACTGATTGAACAGAGATTAAGTGCGTAGCGGTTTCTATGTTGATTATCGCATGCCTAATCCTTGTTGTTAATTAAATATATATAAATCAATATTTATTAAAAGCAACACACAAGTTTCTTGCTTATTCTTCTTGTGATGAGTCTGCATTCCGAATAAGCGGTAGAATAAAAAAACTTGACTATTCAAAAGTGCTTATATTAAGTTTATTTGAATAATGATTATTTCTTTCTTTCTAACAATGGTTTCCAGGGGGAACCGCGTGGAGGTTAACCTAGTTAGTACATAGCTAGCAATATGATCAATTCACATTACTAACATTTCTCTTTCCCACTCAGGGTTATTATTATTACACCAACAAGGTCAGAATCAACGATCAGACATGTTCCGGACTTCAGTGGATCTATAAATGAATTTCAAGTGGTTTGCGCAACGGAAATTATGAAAATCATAATAAGTACGCGATGCGAGCGGCATGCTGGTTGGCAGCCGTTCAAGAAGTTCACGAGGTTTCGACACGCCCTCACAACTAGGGTTGCCAACTTTACCTATTTAATTAGGATGTCCTGAACTTTTAATTGATTTATCAGTGATCTAGCGGTTTAACACACTGCTTTACTTCCGATAGTCGCAAGTTCGAGTCCTCGCACGGTACAAACATTTGTATTCATGAGTATGATTGTTTGTATCGGTCGGGGTGGTTTTTATGTTATTTTTATCAGTTGTGTAGTACCCATAACATAAGCTAGCTTAACTAGACCCACTAGATGGCGCTGTGTGAATTGTCTTGAGATTTTTTTTATAGTACGTCGGTGGTAAACGAGCTTACGGCCCATCTGATGGTAAATGGTAAGTACCACGGTAGTAGTAACCGTAGCCTATGGACGCCTGAAACACGAAGGGTACACGTGCGCGTTTTTTTTTTTTATTTTTATTGGATTGTTTGGGCTATTGTCAGATGTGTAGCACCTGTAGCACTGCGACCTACATAGATCTATTGTGCTCGCCCTTTTCGGAGTTCGCTACCTAGACCCGTCAGGGACAAGAATTGAAGGATATTCTTAGGAGCGATCGTTTTTAACTCCTCGGGAAAGAGTGTAAACTTTCCAAAGGAGATATTTCGTTTATGCATGAGTGGGCTACAACCACATAGGATGTGAAGCGGCGTTTCCTCTTCAGTTTGGCAGAATCTGCAGATACTTGTCGTGCATAGGCCTAGCTTAGCCATATGCTTGTTCAATTTGCAGTGTCCTGTGAGGGCCCTAGTCATCATGCATATGTTGCTTTTACTCAATAGCAGTAATCTATTGGAGTATTTGGTCGAGAACGTCACGTGCGCGTTGCGGACCCTTAAGTTTAATTTGTAATAAGTAATATCCATAACTCAAGCTCTATTTAGTTGATAGTACTATATATATATAGAGTAACTACTATATTATAGAGGTACTAAATGTAGTACGTATATTGTACTGGCTTAAATTTTTTATATTGATAACTAGTTGTTCCCGCGACTTCGTCGATATAAAGTTAAATTCCACGCGGACGAAGTCTACGTTACTCGTTATTACATCAGCTACCTGCCAAAAAAAGTCCCGCAAAAATCGATCCGGCCATTTCAGAGATTAGCCGGTATAAACAGACCGACAAACAGACAGACAAAAATTGTAAAGTGTTTTTTTGGTGTATATAACGTATTTATATTCAAATGCATGTAGTAAAAAACGGTTATATCAATGTTACAAACAGACACTTTAATTTTATTTATATGTATACAGATGGGTTGAAAGGAGAAATAAAAATTTGTACGGAAGTATCGTTATTTTTAAGCAAGGAGCTTGAAACTTTTTTAGGCTGTTCTTTAAATATAAATAAACATGACACTCAAAGTTTGTAAATGTTTTACCCTTAAGGGGGTAAAATAATAGGGGATGAAAGTTTGTATGAAAAATCGTCATTTACGACGCTACGACGGAAGATGAAAGTTCTTTTGGCTTTTTTGGATTATATTATTGAATATTTTTTTCATTATTTGGTCAATGTAATTCAATAAAGTCGGTCACCCTAGCAACTTTCATTTACGACGCTAGGATGAAGAAAGCTCTTTTGGCTTTTTTGTATTATATTATTGAATATTTTTTCATTATTTGGTCAATGTAATTCATCGAAGTCGGTCACCCTAGCAACGTTCATTTACGACGCTAGGATGATGAAAGTTCTATTGGCTTTTTTGTATTATATTATTGAAATATTTTTCATTATTTGGTCAATGTAATTCATTGAAGTTGGTCACCCTAGCAACGTAGCTGGGTACTATAATATCACTCGTGTTTACATTACGCTGATTCTATACAATTTATACTGACATTGCATCAATCTTTTGCTTCCTGACCTAAATACTGGGCAAGTGACAGCTGCTGTTTATACATGTGTATATATATGCATATATTTATGTAATACAGCTGGTAAATATTAACTTTTTTATCCATCAGGCGGGAGTTGGCCATCAGCCGCTCCATAAGTCCTACCTTTGGTTTGGAATGCCATCTGCACTCGCCCCCTATCGTCCGGTGAAGCTGTAAAGGCCAGCTGCGGCCAACAGCATTAGAGTAGTCCAAAAAAAGGATGGGACTTTATCAGAGCAAAATGTAGCCTATATAAACCTGGACAGTTAACATAGCGCCATCTAGTCCCACGGTAAGCAGAGCAAGCTCTGCTCTCTCTCTATCTCTCTCTCTGCTAATCTCAAGCTTATGTTATGTGTACTAGACAACTGATACAAATACATAGTTTTTTTTCGTAAATACATACAATGTATGTATGTATAATAATACATAGAAAACACCCAGATACAAATAATCATACTCATGAATACAAATGTTTGCAACGTGCCAGGAATCGAACCCGCGACTATCGAACGTAAGGCGGTGTGCTAAACCGCTGGAACACCGAGGCCAAGATTATATATATATATATATATAATCTTTGCCCGGGAATTTATCCGCGTGACCATACCAGATTAGTATAAAAATTTGCCTTGTACATCCAAAGAGCTACAATATGTTGCTATATGTATGTAAAATTTCATAACAATTAGTTACTAAGGTAAGAAAGAGTAACAAACTAATGAACTCACTTTCTTATCATCTTTTTCTCTTCTTATATTAATATCAATATTTGACACTAGTCAGATTTGCAACATGCACTTCAAATTTCTGGTTTGTCAGCTTGTTATAGGCTATGGTATACCAACAGGCGGGCCGTATGTTTTACCACATTCGTGTAGGAATAAATTAAAGTGGTCAGATTTGCAACCCGTACGTGACATTACTGGTCTGTCAGGTGGTTATAGGCTACGGTAACCGTTTACATCAGGCGGGCCGTATGTACCACATTTGTGTAGGAATAAATTAAAGTAGTCACATTTGCAACGCGAACGTAACATTTCTGGTCTGTTAGGCGGTTATAGGCTACAGTAATCGTTTACCATCAGGCGGGCCGTATGTTTTACCACCATTGTGTATAAATAAAGTGTTCACCTCTGACTGCTTCTTGGGCATAATGTCCCCGACGCCATTTTGTGTGAATGTGGTCAGAACAAAATACACCGAGCAGATATAGTAATTGTGACACCAACTGCCTCCAGCATCTGACAAACATTACAAGTTTTTTTTAATTTTATTTATTTTATTTATTTACTAGCTATACAAGCGACTTCGTCCGCGTGGAACTTAACATTATTTTTCTAAAATAAAAGTAGCCTATTACATCAGCTACCTGCCAAAAAAAGTCCCGTCAAAATCGGCCCAGCTATTTCAGAGATGAGACAAAAATTGTGGAATATGTTATTTTGGTGTATGTACCTTATTTATATTCATATGCATTTAGTAAACAACGGTTATTTAAATATTACAAACAGACACTCCCATTTAATTTTTATGTATATATGTATAGATTAACAGAAAACCAAGGCTGACACACAAAAACACTAAGCCACTGACAGGCTTTTTCAAATAACAACAATAATTCTGATAAATTTGACAATCTATACATATTAATAAAATTGGAGTGTCTGTTTGTAATATTAAAATAACCGTTGTGAATAATAAATAATTTCATGAAAATTTCTACACATGTTCTTGGAGCATAGAATGAACATAGCTTACTTTTCTAAAAAAAATGCGAGCGAAACCGCGGGTAAAAGTTAGTTACTATTATATAATATGCCCATTATACTTAACTGTTGTACATCCAAGAGGATCGCGGCTTGATCTCGTCTTCCATTACCCCTATGTAGTACCAGAGGCAGGCGGTGGTGTGCACGAATAGTGTGAACCAGATCAGCACCGAGAACACGGTGCTCAGCGTCAGGTTGATGGTCAGCCGCTCGTGGTGACGCTTCAGGCACTTGTGTACAGTTACCTACATGATTGGGTAGTACTGAAATGGCAACGCATGTTGGTCCGCTCCGATCGGTCCAATGTCTAATTCCAACGGGGATCGAAATTACGGCGGCCTGAGCCGAGATTCGAACCCCTAGCGGTGTCCTCAGACTAAAGTCGCAACAAATCTAAACACTTGCGCGGTGGAAACAAGTTTTTGTCTTCTAGAACAACTGAAAAAGATTTTTATTCATTCTACGACGATGGCAAGGACAAACAAGTCTGGATGAAGTCGAAATAATTGTCGCGAAAGGCGACAACATTGTCAATTCATTAATTTCCGGTACATATATATAAAATATTAATGTAGATATTAACATAAGTTTTAATAATAATATAGTATACCTATATAGCAATAAAGGTACTTACAATCCTGAACATTCTGTTGAGTCTCAACCAAGAGAACAACATCCAGCGATGCCTGGTCGCAAGCAAGCTAAACACCTCGATGGGGACACACGACAGTATGTCGTATTTGAATTCGCTTCTAAAATATCTGCAATAGTGTATCGTTGCGGGGTAATAATACTATTGTAAAGTATTATTTTATAAACAGAGTTTTATGTGATACTAGCTATCACGGCAAACGTTGTTTTGCCTTAAAATAAAATAAAAAAATTAGGGTTGGACTACACCTAACATTTAGGGGGATGAAAAGTAGATGTTGGCCGATTCTCAGACCTACTCAATATGCTCACAAAATTTCATGAGAATCGGTCAAGCCGTTTCGGAGGAGTATGGGAACGAAAATTGTGACACGAGAATTTTATATATAAGATATAAAGAAATCATTATTCATGTAGGACATTTTAGCCGCTTATGAACGTCAAATTTTTTATATTATAATTTGCAAAAAATATCATGAAATAAGTGTGACAGAATTTCCGGATGACCCCAAGATTGCATTAAACTTACGCATTCCTCAGCGGCAGTAGTATCTTTCTCAAATGCGCTGACTCCACGATATAAGGCAGTGAGTACTGCATCAATATCTTCACAGAGAACCCCAAGTCGAGCGCATATAGCAACAAAATCACCAGGAGGCTGTTATTTTGGAACCCCGCGTTGTATACATCCATGTAGATGCAAAGCATGGAGACTATTATGAGGTACATTTGGATCGACTTGTCTTTGAAGTAAAGGTGCTTTATCAGGCCTTTGCGACTTCGTATCACAGTTGGCGAGCTCACGCTGCGGTCTCGTAAGTTCCGCATGGAGTCGGAACTACCGGCGATGTAGTTCTGCAAATGTTAACGTGTGTAAAAGTGTGTATACCGAGAACTTCTTGGGCTAAAGATTTCTACCCTCTAGGTAAGGTTCAAATTTGCCTGACACGAAATATATATGTCAGTTTATATTTCCTATTAGCTGCCTTTACACTCTTTACGCTCTTTCAGGCGTGAATCGGCATTCACACGTAAAAGAATATGCTTCATATCAGGGAAGACTGGAGGATGGTTGTATGAATTCAGATCAGCTTTAAGAGAATAAACGTTGTATAAAAAATGGTAACGTTATGTTATCTGTGATACTATAAACATTTCAGGCACATTATCAGGTATTTGTGTATAGATGGAATAAAAAAAATACATATATATTTTTTTAATAACGCGATGACTGCGAACAGGGACGAATGGAAGCGAAAAACATTACGCCGACCCCAAATAAATGGGATAAGGAAGAACAGATGATGATGATATATTTTTAAATATAAAATAAAAAAAATTAAATTGTAGAGAAAAACTGAATTGTACAGAATATTAAATATAGAAAATGAAATCAAAATATTAAGTATACAAGAAAAATTAAGAAAAGTGTGTGTAATCCATGTTTTTGATTAGGAGTGTTTGTATGTGTAGGTCTGTGTAGATAGCAATTATGCGATTGTGTGCTTGTTGTCATTTTACGACTGTACGGATCTTATTCAAAGACGTGACGATATATCACATTATATCAACACTGTGCTATTGTAATCGAATTATTTCTTTAAAGAAATAAACATTTTTTCATTTTCATATATGTGGAGGAAGTATAAATAACAGCTGACCGGATTGTTGGCCCTGTGGTTGTCAATGAGGGCCAGTACTGAGGGGAAGTCAGCGACGATGTGTCTGAAGGCGGCGGCGCTGATCTGCAGCACGTGCGTGCGGCAGCCAGCCACCACCGACACGCGGCTACGGGCGCTCGAGGTACCCTCAATGTTCCCCACCACGCTGTACGAACCAGATGTGGACATATATTAGCACACTTTCATCTTGTAGCTAGTACACATAGTAATGTCGTAGCTGTTTGTCCTTACGGCTATCGAAGGGTAAAGGCACAGAGACACCGAGTCATCTGTGTTGTCACTAATAGCTGACAGAATAGCGCCGAGACAATTAGTTGCCACGGCATATGATGAGTGTCGAATGCAACTGTTATCAATAAATGTTTTCTTTCTTTCTTTATTTATTTTCAGTAAATGCATACAGACATCGTCTTTGATCTGCGGAATCTCGATGGCGCGGGAAAGCAACTTCCTCGATATTGAGAATACTTGCACGTGAGTCACGGCTCTGATAGTGTAGTAAGCAGGCAAGCCTGGAGTTCATGAGACTCTGTTAGAGTCCAGATTATTTAATAAGTTTTTGTAAAGTCATCATCTGCTTCTTCCTTATCCCATTTGGGGTCGGCGTAATATGTTTTTCTCTTCATCACTGTTCGTAGTCATCTCGTTATTTACTCCCTTCCTTAGCTTCTTTCACACAGTGCAACCATCTCTTTTTCGGCCTTCCTCTGCCCTTATAACCATCCACATTCATATGTAACCTTTCCATTATTTTCCTGTATTAAATGCTGACCTGCCCCTGGTGAGCTCGCAGAGCGTGCTGCCAACTGCGCTGGTCTCCCGCACGTGCAGGCGGCCGTAGTCCACGAAGTACATGTCGGAGACCACGTCGTCCGGCTCCACGAGGACCATATCCCGCAACAGGTACACGCTGCGCACCGCGCGCCCCAGGTTCCTCAGTAACGACACGTCGCAGTTCACCAGGAACGGGCACTGAACAATTATAGTACCAAATGATCGAAATTTTACCGTAATATAATCCTTACTCCTTACTAATATTATAAATGCGAAAGTAAATCTCTCTGTCTGTCTGTTTGTCTCGCTTTCAAGCGAAAACTACTGCTCCGATTAAAATAAAATTTGGTATACAGATAGTCTAGACCCTGAGAAAGGACATAGGGTACTTTTTAATGCGAAGACAGGATTGTAAGAGGTTGAAAGGGGATGAAACGTTGTATGGAAGTATCATAATTTTTAAAGGTAGATGTTTGAAACTTATTTTTTAAGCTTTTGACTATCAATATGACATTCAAAGTTTGTATGAAATTTACCCTTAAGGGAGTAAACTAAAATAGGGGATGAAATAGAAATTGCTCATTCATCCTCTATGAGTGGCAGGCACAGCTAGTTAAAAAAAAAATGGGTTTGGACCACTCTTATCCTAAATGATAAGAGTGGTCCACTCCGTAGTCCTATTTTTAGATCTAGTTATATTCAGTAGATCTGAAGACCACGTAGCGTAGTCCTAACGCTACGTGGTCCAGGACAAAGGGGGAATCGGATTGTAAGTAATGTGAATTATTGAACCCATTGCTAGCAATGTACCATGTCAGATTGACCTCCACGTCGTACCCCTGGAAACCATCGTGATAAATTCCTGGTGAATTTCTCACGATGGGCTAACTGAACTGACCTCATGTTCATCCTATCATCCTCCACTGATGCCCCGCCAGCGTAAACCGTTAGCGCAGGCGGGGGCTCATTTCATTATCATCTATTAAAAAAAAGTGGTCCAGGCCCAATTTTTTTTAAAGGGTGTATTTCGGCGGAAATTTGTTACAAAGATTGCATTAGGAGTATTTTATATATTAAGAGATAACCTTTGCGAATGTTGGTCCGTAGATATGAAGGATGGTGTCAGTGCGCAGTGTGATTTGATCGCACATTTTGAGCACATTCCTGTAATCCACTCCGCCCGTTTTGTCCCAATTGTATTCATAGTAGTCCAGAACTACTCTACAAGAAAACATAAATTGTTAGTTAATTCAAATTTAAATTAAAAATATCTCTATTCATGTAGGTCTATTACAGACTCTTATAATATATCAAATTTACCGTCAGTTCGGAATGATTTCAAGATGAGAAGAACCGACAAGAAATTCAGCTCGTATTCTTTTCAAATAAATGTTGTACATGTTAACCATAATACAGATTCATTTAAATTCAAATTTGGGAGAATAGAGTGACCACCAGCATATGCTATTGCAAAAGCAAAAAGTCTAATCATTGTTCGTAACTTGAACAGACCAGTCCCTACAAGCAGCACCCGTTCACGAGTATGATGGATGAGCCAGCCATCATTGCACTCAACCATATTAGAGGGAGCACATCGACCCGGTCCATAACACAAGTTTTGCTTAGATGAATCCCGCCACATGACACCCACAGCCGGCTGCTGAAAAGTAGCCGGCTTCCGGCCGATGGCGCTGGGTGGTTCACCCCAGCAGAATGCTCGGACACTGAGCTTAGTCTTGAGGCACCCAGCGGTCCATAACAGACCAGCAGACGACCCAGTCAGTCAGTCAGCTGTACTTAGCTTGGGTTTAGATGGCGCTGTGATATTGTCATGAGATATTACTATCATTATTATTTACATTTTACTATAGAAATACCAATTATCTTTTTTAAAATAAGTTTAGTATAAGCATTTTTGAAGTCATATATTTTTAATTCTATCACTCATTCGGAACACAGACTGATCGCAAGAAGAATGAGCAGGAAGCGTGTTGCTTTTTTAAATAAATATTAACACAATGTGTATTTAATAACAAACTTAACAAGGATAAGGCATGCGATAATCAACATAGAAACTGCTACGCACTCAATCTTTGTGCAATGAGATAATATTGTCAGTGCTATTAATTTTAAATTAGTATTTTTGTACAAAAACACGCTTCAATTGTTTAATAAGCTTGTTTATAAAGAAAGTGTTTATTAATTTTATATATTTGTCAATGAAGTAGAAATAGAAATAGAAATAATCTTTATTAAAATAAACTCATTACAAGCACTTTTGAATAGTCATATTTTGATTCTACCACTCATTCGGAATACAGATTCATCACAAGAAGAATGAGCAAGTAACTTATGTGTTGCTCTTTTTAATAGATGTTTTTTTATATAAATAATTACAGTATAACAAGTAAGAGGCATGCGATATACATATAATGTCATAGACATAGAAGTCGCTACGCACTCATTATTAATGTAATCAGATAATATTGTCAGTGCTATATATTTAAAGTTTTTCTATAAAAACATTATTATCGTTAACATTATTCTTCAATTTTATAGTAAGCTTTTTTGCAAAGGAACTGTTTTATTTGACATTTAAATCTTTTTTCTGGCAGATTTATAACAGACTCTGGTATTTTATTGTAAAACCTTACGCAATTTCCATAAAACGAATTACTAACTTTAGCCAAACGTCTTTTAGGTAAAATCAGTTTGTTATTAATATAGTAGATGAATAATACAATATGAACATACTTCTGCAGGGCGGGGTGTATGTTCTCTCGGCGCATAAACACGATCATATCCGTCATATGGTGCTGGAAGCCGGCCAGCAGCGTGTTCACGTTACCTCTGATGCTGATGATGCGCACAGAGAAGTACGTCGTCATCATTGCACCTGGAGGTTACATTAATGCAAACAATTTTCTTTAATAATCTAAATATATATGTATAACTCAAAGGTGACTGACATAGTGATCTATCAACGCACAGCCCAAACCACTGGACGGATCGGGCTGAAATTTAGCATGCAGGTAGATGTTATGACGAAAGCATCCGCTAAGAAAGGATTTTGATTAATTCTACTCCCAAGGGGATAAAATAGGGGATGAAAGTTTGTATGAAACTTTGTCAATTTTAAACCGATCGGGCTGAGACTTTGCATGCAAAAATCTACTATGACGTCGGCATCCCCTAAGAAAGGATTTTGATAAATTTCACCCCTAAGGGGATAAATTAACGCGAGAGAAGCCGCGGGCAAAAGCTAGTATTTACACATAATCACAGGATGCCATTAAAAAAAATAGATCATTGAAGAATCGGCTATTATTTTTTAATAATATACTTGTATAGAGTCGATAATTGAAACCAAAGATAATAATCGTAAAAGTCATGAAACCCATTGGAAGAAGGAGATAATATAACAAAAATGATAGTAAAAACTTGCTTAATTGAATAATCTTTTGTATTTACTAATCTTTTATAAAAAATGTAAATAGAAAAATTGTAGATCTTTTTACCTACCACATCTAGTCACACACCACATTATATTTTCATGTTTAGTTGTAATTATTTATGACATTTTTATTAAATTATTATTTGCACAATTTGACCCACTCAACACTTCCTATGCCACGCAGTAATGAGTTGACTGGAAGAGATATCTTTTAGAGATAAGTCCTCCTTTGTTAACATTATTTCTAATTAATATACTTATAAAATGTATTTATGTGGCGCAAATTGATACCTTCTATACGGCATCGGCCTCTGCAATAGTTTGACGACCTCGGTGGTCTAGCGGTCTAGCACACCGCTTTACGACCGATGGTCGCGGGTTCGATTTCTCGCACGGCACTAACATTTGTAATCATGAGTATGATGGTCTGGGTGTTTTCTATGTGTAATAGGTATGTATTTACGAAAAAAAAAATCTATGTATATGTATCAGTTATCTGGTACCAATAACACAAGCTTTAGCTAGCTTAACATGGGTATAGATGGCGCTGTGAAAAAAAATAATGTTCTCAATAACATTATCTGAAGTGGCCATCAAAATTATCAATATAGTCAGAGTTGGCATTAAAGAAACAGATGTATCATTCTTTAGATATTATTTATTGTTGCACCGATGTGGGTGGCATATCTTCGGAATAAACCGTAAATATTTAATGGAATAAAAAAAAACAATAAAAGAATAGAAAATTAGGTAAGGTTGTAGGTAAGGTTGTGGTGGACAGCCTTACCTACAATTTTCTATAGGACTTATAGTTATCCGTAAATCGAGATAAACCCTTTTTTACCCTTAAAAACTCATCCCCTCTACTTCCAGACTCGAAACATCCAATACTAACCAATGACCATTCCAATGTACAAAACCCGCATGAGATGGAAGTTGCTCGGGTTGAGGCTGTTGTACCCAGTGGTGGTGGTCTCAAAAACCACCCAGAAGTACGACGCCAGGTGGAGATTCCACGGCGTCTCCGTCACGTTGAAACGAACTAGTAAAATATAGAACAAATATATCGTATAGCCTTACCATACAATTGTAATTGCAAACAAGCTGACAGTCCACCTGATAGTAAGTGGTAACCGTCGCATATATACAATTATACTACGGTCACGTTATCATGTGACATCGGTGATACAACTCATGCGTTGCCAACCATCACGTTGAAACAAACTAGTAAAACGGAATAGTTTTAATGACGGAGAATGGCAAACAAACTTACGGTCCATGTGATGGTAAGTGGTAACTTTTGCGTATATACGTGAACATTACGGATATCACGTTATACAAGTGATGCTTTGCCATTAGAGAGTACTAAGATGTCATGCCACTTATCCTGTAATTTCACAACTTAATCTTTATCATGTGACTTCGGTGATACAACTGAGACGTTGCTATTCGAGACGACTGAGATGTCATGCCTCTTATCCAGTAATATCACTGCTTAAACTGCACTCATTGGTCAAAACATAGTTCAGATTTAGCTTGAAAGCCTCTCCGGCGAGCCGTTAACATTGGTCTCACATGCTAATGGTGCTACCATTAGCTTGTGAGACCAAAGTAGAATTAAACAAAATAATATAAATATATATTAATCTTCTTTACAAATTATAAAATAAAGTCGCTTCCACTGTCTGGTAGCTTAGATCTTTTAAACTACGCAACGGATTTTAATGCAATTTCTAGCAATAGATAGAGTGATTCAAGAGGAAGATTTATAATTATGATACATGTGTGTTATTTATAGAACAAAATGAAAATTTCAAAGATCTATAATGCATCCTTGCAAAACCGAAGAGGGTCGTTAGTTTACAAGACTCAACTCACATGACTTGCTGAACAGGTTTATCCAGGAACCACCCTTGTCCTCGAGCGGTACGATCAGACACTGGGTATCATCCATAGAGCTGAATATGTTCACGGAGTAGAAGACGACGCAGCACGTCAGCACGTTCAGCAAGCTCAAGAACAGAGGGATGGCCTTGATGCTGCACCATTATATGTTTAGAACAGAATAGAATATATCTTTATTGCTAACTTTGTGGTACATTAATTTGCAGGTAATTTTATTATATTTACAAATTGCTTCATGAATAGAATAGAATAGAAATAATCTTTATTCAAATAAACTCATTACAAGCACTTTTGAATAGTCATATTTTGATTACCATAAAACGAATAACTAACTTTAGTTAAACAATATTTAGGTAAAATCAGTTTGTTATTGTTACGTAACCTTTTATTACTGTAATGTAAATGTGTAATGTGTTCATATAATATAAATATAAGCTCTCTTTACTATTAGGAAGAATATAAGCACTAGTCATATTGTTTATTCTACCACCCAATCAGAAATGTGTATCATCGAAGAACGAGCAAGAAACAACTTTTAAATTTAAATAAATAGAATAGAATAGAAAATCATTTATTCAAATTTCGATTCGATATATTCAGCTTAAAAAAGGTAACATTTAAATCTAATGCTACAAAATTGTTACTTCGTAGTAAGAAACTAGTAAAATTTGCATAAATTAGATGGTATAAGCATTGTATTGTATAAATTGGACTTGTGGATAAACAGAACAATAATATGTTAATACTTTAGTGTTGTAATACTGAATATTATAGATAATTGTGAGAAAACATTTAATTGGCCTTATTTTTAAGTACATATTATTTGTATTTCGCTGTTGGTTTTCAAAATAAATAAAAAAAAAAACAAATAAACTTACATTGAAGCACTTTTGAATAGTCATTACAAGTTTTTAATCTACCGCTCATTCGGAAAGCTGTCTCATTACAGAAAGAACGAGCAAGAAACTTGCGTATTACTCTTTTAAATAATTTTATTATTACTTTACATTTTTAAGTTTAAGTGTGTGAATACAAATGTTGTCCAGGATTCAGTTAATCAAAATGTCTTACACAAGCAGGATGTCTCTCCTCTCGATGTACCCGGAGAGCGTGAGCATGGCGCCGGGCAGGCGGTACAGCTGCAGGAGGCGGTTCAGCATCAGGAACTGCCGTGTTTGTGTCAAGCGGTACTTGTCCTCTGTCATTATTTTATATAATGAATGGTAAGCCAACTGACAGTCGATGGTAAATGATCAAATCAAATAAAAATAATTTATTCATTTAGGATCGGGTTTTTTAAAAAGGGTATGTTAAGGTTTCTTAAGGGTTGGCAACGCGCACTTGACACCCCTGATGTTTCAGGCGTCCATAGGCTACGGTAACCGTTTACCATCAGATGGGCCGTATGCTTGTTTGCCACCTACGTGGTATAAAGAAAATTATAGCCGCTTATGAATCTCAAGGAATTCTGGAAGGCATTGGATGCGAACAGCGCAGGAGGGATCGTCGTGGAGATCTTTGGGGGAGGCCTATGTCCAGCAGTGGACGTCCTCCGGGCTGCGATGATGATGAATTCCAAAGTTTTTATTAATATTTTTCTCTACCGATCCTTTCTACTGCTAACCTGTTATAGAGAACTTATGATAAATAATTCCAATTAGCTACACTAAAATAATATTAATTAAGATTAGAATCAAGGAATCACCTTCTGAAGATTCTCTCCAAGGGACGGTCTCGTATTAGCGCTGCTGCTTCATCCTAAGGTACCGCGTAATGAATATAGGTCATGAAGGTTTTCGGATGGTTCCCTCTTTCGTGCTCCTTTATTAGAGTATCGTAATGAACATGAACCGTATGCTCGATTACCACCATCGAAGTATACAAAAAAAGGAATATTTACGGAATGATTCCCTTCCAGGCACTTCAAGGTACTCCAAAGGTAACGAGCAGAAGAGATCCACGATGAAGGCACCTTTCAAGTAGTGTGCTGCAGTGCTTGAAGGATGGTACACCAGGATACCCTGCTCGTTGTAGTAACCAACCAGCATACGCTGAAGGCTGGTCAATTTTAAACCACTTTAGAGTCTCAAGTATCCAGACGTCATTTGACAGCCTCGGTGGTTTAGCGGTTTGCCACACCGCCTTACTTCCGATGGTCGCGGGTTCGATTCCACGTACGGTACGAATATTTGTATTGATGAGTATGATTGTTTATATCGGTCTGTGTTTTCTACCTGTAATATGTACATATGTATATAGGGATTAGGGAAGTGCTAGTAGCTCCAACATTGAAATTCTCCAACGGTTCCAGATCACCCATTTTTATGGCACCATTGTTTATAACTAAATCGGAGATCCATTATTTCTCGGATTTACTTAAATTACGTAAGGAGCTTGCTAGCACAAGCTCTAAATATAAGGCTCAGCTGAGTATACACCCTAATGATCTAGCCCACAGGTTACCTGTTAATAACACCCCAAAACGCCTGACACAAATACTGGAGTTAGATAAAGTGTACTCCAGGTCCTGAAACTTAACATAGCGCCGGAGGCATCATTAAAATAAAAAGTCGTGCACTCACTACTGACTGCAGACTTGCATACTTATTTACCAACTAATCTGATTATAGTACACCTACTGATTACGGATATACAAGGAATAAAACAAAACATATATATATATATTTATATCAATTGTATAGTACTCATAACAAGCTCTATTTTCCTTGGAACTAGATTGCAGTATGAATTGTTCAGGTATTATTAATATTAGTACATTATTCCTTATGATGGAAAAAGGGGTTATTATAATCAAACAGGAAACATACATATCAAAATAAGCGGAGATATCAAGCAGCCAGGTGAAGAAGTAGAGCGAGGGCCACTGCAGCACCAGGTACGAGTAGCTGGGGAACACCATCGCGGAGCAAAGCGCGCACCACGCACGGAACCACTCGTACCTCACCAAATACCGGCCGTCCGGACGGATCGAGAACCGGGGAAACATGTATCTGCACAACGGATTTTTTATACATGATAATGCAACGGTGCACCCTCCTGCGATAACGGTTTACACTGGCGGGGCACCAGTGGAGGACGATAAGATGAGCATGAGGTCAGGTCAGTTGGCCCATCGTGACAAACTCACCAGTAATTTATTTATAATACTTGCTATAATATATATCCTTCCTAACATTTTTTTATACATGATAATGCAACGGTGCACCCTCCTGCGATAACGGTTTACACTGGCGGGGCACCAGTCGAGGACGATAAGATGAGCATGAGGTCAGGTCAGTTGGCCCATCGTGACAAACTCACCAGTAATTTATTTATAATACTTGCTATATGCATATATATATATATATCCTAATATTAAAAGTAAATGGCGTCCAGGGTTATTAGTCCACATAAGTAATAATCCCTCAACGGTGAAATGGCTCATTCACCAGCATCAAAATAGTTTCTCTCGCAGACGACTTTTTACGCGTTTCACCACTTAAAATCTACCATAATCGGATTCAATTGCAACTGTTCAAATTAAAAGAGCTAAAATACCTAAACTGTTATAAAAATCTGACCTTAGTATTGACAAGAATCCCAAACTTTTAAAGGGATGCAGGTATTCATTATCCATCTCGTATTTCTTGGGCAGTGGGAATTGTACAATGTTCGGCGTCGGGCTGGGTGGCTCATACCAGAGGAAGGACTCGCGGGCCATCAACAAGCGAGTGTATTCCTTGCAAATGCAATATTTTTTTAATGAAATATATTAGATCACTTGATATGGCAGGATAATTTTTTGAAAATCATTGTAGAGGGAAAAATAGAAGGAAAGAGGGGGAGGGGAAGACCAAGGCACAGCTACATCAAGCAAATGGGAGTCGTGTCGTACCAACATTTACAGAGCATGATGAAAGATCGCGGTAAGTGGCAAAAGCTTCACCGACAAGAGCGCAGCTCTTAAGTTATGTATAAATAATCTCAACACACACAGCGCTACAACCCGGTGTTCTGGCGGTTTAGCACACCGCTTTACTTCCGATGGTCGCGGGTTCGCTTGCTAGAACGGTACAGACATTTGTATTCATGAGTATGATTGTTTGTATCGGTCTGGGTGTTTTCTATATATATTAAGTATACCAAAAACAATATGTAGTCTATTCTACCCATAACACACAAACTCTGCTTAGCTTGAGACTAGATTTATAATTTTGTATGAGTCTGCATTGACCGGCTCATACAAAATAATAATAATATCTCTAGACAATTCACACAAACACCCTGACTGATACAAACAATCTAAATACAAATGTTAAAAATCCGCAACCATTGCATTTAGGCGGCATGCTATACGAAAGCGCTAGACGAAAATAGAAATCCAAAAGTATTCAAAAGTACCGGTTGTGATTTGACGAACTCGATGGCGTCTTTGATCTGCGGAATCTCGATGGCGCGGGAGAGCACCTTCCTCGATATTGAGAATACTTGCACGTGAGTCACGGCCCTGATGGTGTAGTAAGCAGGCAACCCTGGAGTTCATCAAACTCTATTAGAGTCCAGATTATTTAATAAGTTTTAGAAATGTCATCATCTGCTTCTTCCTTATCCCATTTATTTGGGGTCGTCGTAATATGTTTTTCTCTTTCATTCATCACTGTTCGTAGTCATCTCGTTATTTACTCCCTCTCCAACCATATCATCTTTCACACAGTCCACCCATCTCTTTTTCGGCCTTTCTGTGTCGTTATAAACATTCACATTCATATGTAACGCCTTCCTTAAAATATTATCTTCATTCCTACGCCTTACATGCCTATAAGTAAGATTTTCATCACTACCTCTGAGCCATTTTCATTGGCATTTCATTCAAGGGCATACCTATATAAAACCAATAATTTATTTTATCAGTGTTTCCAGCATTGTTCAAAAATAAGATTCGAAATTTGACTCACGTAAAAGGCATTCCAGGACACCAAAGTGGGCTTTAACACCGAGAAAACCAACCGCTTGTCTAGTATACGGATTAAAAATCTGGAAATAAATAAGGGATCGTGAATAATAAAATAATATTTTACTAATTACTACATAACATAATAATTAAAAACAAATATAATATACATAATATAATATGTACAATAATTTTCATTTAATTACTACATATATGAGCTATTAATTGAAAATTAATATGTCATAAAACGTCATCTGTCCCGAAATCCTCAGAGTTTCCTAAATAAACACATTTAAATAAGTTACATTACGCCACTGCTAGAGAAAGAAAAGTCACTGCACTGGCAACAACAGGGGAGTTGCCGGTGAGTTGTTTACCTAAATAGAAGTAGTAGGTAGAAGAAAGAATTAGAAACGGGATAGGAGGAAGCGGACAGAGAATATCTATCGAAGGAAGGAGTGGGTAGAGCGTTAGAGGAACGAATTAGGAAAGAGATAGGAGGCAGAAGGGAGAGGATAGGAGGATAATATCTTTCGACTACAACTAACTTCTAATAAGACAAGAGTCCCGCGCTCTGTTGAACGTACACAATTTGCTAAGGTATCTAGTATTTCGTTGACGAAAACCCACCTCACAAATGCCCTGTTTGATGACGAACATTTCGTAGCTAATGTCGCCGGTGTTCAGAAGAATCTCGTTGGGGGATGTGTAGAACAGTCGAGCCGCTGACGACACGTGCTTGAGGTCTTCCTTATGGAGCAGCTGTAAAAAAAGTTTTTAGAAATTGCCTATTTATTTATAAGACCCTATATTTATACTATATTTTTTCTGTCTCGTAAGTTTAATGAATACACTTATTGTCTCGTATCCGGCAGGCGGGAGTTGGCCTTCAGCCGCTCTATAAGTCCTTCTGCGGGTTTGGAGTGCACATCTCCACTCGCCCCGAGTCCGGTGAAGCTGTAAAGACCAGCTGCGGCCAACAGCATTAGAGTAATGCAAAAAAACTTCTTGTCTAGTGTCGTTTTTCGGTGATTCGGTGTTTCATTCTTGTGAATCTATACAGGTTAATATAACCTGATGGGTATTTAGAAATCTTACATAAGTGAAGTTTTGAAAAGTGACTATAGGTCGGGAAAACTTATTGGTTTAACATCCGCCCTCAACCTCCAGATTTTACCCATGCTTAATCCTACCCATTATTTTCATAATAGTGAGCCTTCCCTTATTGACTTGATAATGGTATCACACCCTAGAAAACACCCAAACTTGACGGTATCTCATGGACAAATGAGTTCTCCTTTTTCTCAACACGATCTAATTTATCTATCGTATGAGGTACGTCCACCAAAGAATAAGGGTAAGGTTCACTTTCTTCGCGATTTTCGGCATATGGATCTTGAGCGTTTGGGAGAGGATATGAGGAGTGTAGACTGGTCTGCTGTATATCTTGCTAATAATATTGACACAATGATTGAGATACTAAACAGAGAACTGCTGAGAATTTATGATAAACACGCACCGATTCGTCCTGTCCGTGTTAAACATGCTCCTGCGCCTTGGCTTACTCCCATTATTAGGAGATGTATGGCCAAACGTGACAGGGCTAAAAGTCGATACAAGCACGAGAGATCACAAGTTAACTTCGATATTTACAAAAAGCTCCGCAACATCTGCAACAGAATGTGTAGGGATGCTAAACGCCGATATATTCATTCTACTATATTAAACCTTAATCAGGTTCAAGTATGGAAATTTCTCCAATCGCTGGGTGTTGGCAAGTCCTCTGAATCTTGTCAGAGTGATTTGGATCTCAATGCGTTAAATAAGCACTTTTCTTCTTCTCCTATTACTCTCAGTAGTCTGACCAAAGCTAATTCACTCTCATTTCTTTCGAATCTTGCTTCACCCGATTGCCCTCCATTTATTTTCAGTGCCGTCACCGCAAATGCTGTTAGGAAGTGCATTCATTCCCTTTCCACTAAAGCCATTGGTAGTGACAACATTAGTCTCAATATGATCATTCCTGTGTTGGAGGACATTTTGCCTGTGCTCACTCACATTATTAATTTTTCACTTGTGCACAGTGTCTTTCCATCACAGTGGAAAAAGGCTTTTGTCATTCCGCTTCCTAAATCCACCAATCCAAAATGCTTCTCCCAATTTCGCCCCATATCCATTCTTCCATTACTATCCAAAGTTCTCGAATCAATTGTCCACAATCAGCTATACAAATTCCTTTCCACCCATAATCTGTTATGTCCGTTCCAGTCAGGCTTCCGTCCCTCCCACAGCACTACCGGGGCACTCCTCAATATTACCGAGGATATACGACAGGCTATGGATGACACTAAATTGACTGCTATTATTTTATTAGATTTTAGCAGTGCGTTCAATTCTGTCGATTATGACATTCTCCTTGGTACCCTCCGTGCCGTTAATATCTCTAGTTCTGTTATAGAATGGTTCTCCTCTTTTCTTTTCGGTCGCCAGCAATGTATTAAGATTAATGAGGGTTCCTCTGACTGGATTACTTTAACTGCTGGTGTACCTCAAGGCGGTGTACTCTCTCCATTACTTTTTTCTGTGTTTATCAACAATATTTCTCGAGCCATTACTTCTCCCTTCCATCTGTATGCGGATGACTTGCAATTGTATCGTCACTGCTCATTGTTAGAGGTGACACAAACAATTGCTGCTTTAAATTGTGATCTCTTGGCTATTCAATCGTGGGCCAGTTCGTTTGGCCTCATTGTTAATCCGTCTAAATCTCAAGCTATGATAATTGGTAGTAGCAGACTAAGGTGTAAGGTGAATTGGTCTGTAGTACCTCCACTTATTTATGAGGGTGTTCAGATAGAATATGCGGATAGGGTAAAAAACTTGGGTATAATTTTGGACAGCACAATGTCATGGACTTCTCATATAAATGATATTAGTAGACGGACACACTTTTCATATCACTCTCTTAAACGTCTCCAATTTTTTCTTCCTTTCGGTACCAAAATTATGCTCGCACAATCTATTTTACTTCCCATTTTAGACTATGCCGACGTCTGCTTCTTAGACGTGACTGAGGAGCTCCTTAATAAACTAGAGCGCTTACAAAATTTAGCAATAAGATTCATTTTCAATTTGCGCAAATATGATCATGTTTCCGAATTCCGCGCTCGGTTAAAGTGGCTCCCAATCCGTCAACGACTTAATATGCATATCCTGACCATGTTATTTAATATTCTTAATGATCCCAATTCCCCTTGCTACCTTCGTTCCCGATTCCAATTGTTACCACCTCCCTCGAGACCCAAACGCCTTTGTCGTCACTCAAGGGCACTTAAGCTTCCAAGTTGTAAGTCGCAATTCATGGGTAACTCCTTTTCCTTTCGTGCTGCTCAATTGTGGAATGGACTTCCGTTACGTATTCAGCAGAGCCCGTCTGTTAGTTCCTTCAAGAAAAGATTAAAATCATACTACCTATCTGCCATTGAATGATTACTTTTATATTATTTATTTGTTTATTATGATGAATATATTTATGTATTATATGATATGTATGTTTATTCCTATATTTTTGTATTACTATTTATATTTATGTATATTCGTATTTATGTATTTTACTTTTATTTTAGATTATACAATTTGTTCTTTGAAATTTATTTAGTATCTATCCTTTGACATTTTTTTTTGTTTGCACCAATTATTACCCACTCAGTACCACATATCCCACTGTTTTAGGTTGACTGGAAGAGATCTCTTCTAGGGATAAGTCCACCTTTGCTCACATTGTCTCTAAATTATAATATCTTTTTATTATTTGTGCAATAAAGAATATATATAATAATAATAACATAAGAGGAGAAAAATAGGGCTTTTAAAATAATCTTAGGAATAACTAAGTGCAACTCATACACTGCCATCTAGTCCCAAGCTAAGTAGAGATTGCGTTACAGGTACTAGACAACTGATAAAAATACTTAAATTACTACGTTTTGTAAGTCCATACATAATAATATATATAGAAAACACCCAAATCAATACAATCATATTCATGAAAATGATTTCACACAAATGATTGCACTGCGATAGGAATCGAACCAACGACCATTGAAAGTAAGGCGGTGCGCTACATCGAAGACCACGCCACCAAGTCATGCACAAATATTAACAGGAATCATATCAGCATTAAAAAGTCAGGCACCAACTGGCATAGGAATATTCAAATTCAAATTTCAAAAATGTGTGCTTTTAGCGCGCATTCCCGCTCTAAGTCGGGCAGTGTAACCGCGAGGTTGGAATGTCCATAAGTTGGAGGGTTTTCTTTACCATAAGTAAAAGTCCGTACACTTAGGCTTCTGAGAAAACAGTACTGTTGGCTCGAGTTGTCCTCGCATTGGAGGGAAATGTTGAGAAGTTGAGGGTGTGTCAATCACTGCACAATATAACAGTCAACAAGGACGCGCGAGAGAGTTCTGATGCGATTAAGCCTTACGCGACGACGGGCGACTTGCAGAAAACTTTGCAGGCGACTGTATATAAGCGTGAGTAAGAAGTAAATCAGAAAACCTTTATAAATGGAACAGTTAGAAGATATTTGCTCCGCTGGCTGGCCACTATATCTTGGTACACATGCGGAGGCAGGTCGTAGAAGATGGATTTTTTCTTATTCGCCAATGAATAGGCCTGAAAATATTCAAGTTAATCTTACCGTCAACCGAAAGACATACATATCATTTTTATCATATAATATTCAATTTAAATAAGTAGATTTAATGCACACAACAAGCTAGCTCAAGGTGAAAGAGGATAGTTATAATCCCATTGCTAACAATGTACCATGTAAGGTTGACCTCCACGCAGTTCCCTCTGGAAACCACCATGTTAAATCCCTGGTGAATTTGCCACGATGGGCTAACTGACCTGACTTCGTGCTTCTCTTATTACTCTCCGCCAACGTAAAGCATTAGCGAAGATAGGACCATTTTACTATCATCCCGTAAAAAAATCCTTTACATATTAAAATATTTAGTTACACACATTTTCTTTACCTTATCTATGTACCAACATAATTGCAAATATGTAATGAAGCGCTGCCTTATCATGGGATCCACTTCATTCCTTATCAGAAAGTCCTTCACATTTCCAATGCTCGAGTCGTAATCTTCTCTGGAATATTTAAAATAATAATATTCCTTGTTTTATTGGGACCTTTATTTGGTATATCTTTCAGACGAACGTGCACGTTACTTCACTACCCAAAAACTTCATACATATCGACCAGGATAATAGGATAATAGCAATTTGAAAAGGCGGATTAGACAGACAGGTAGGGGAGGTACTAGACAACTATTAGAATTCTTTTTTTGTAAACACATATATAATAAACATAGAAAACACCCAGACCGATACATACGTCATACGTCATCTTACTCCTCATACGACATTGAAATTTATATTAATGATTTAACAATAATTCATTTTTAATTCTTCAATAATACCTGTACCGTTGGAAGAAAAGCGGTGTGCTAAATCTCTAGACCACCAGGGCCCTTGATCGATATTGTGATTCGTCTACATACCTCAATGCAGTGGTGACCATAATAGTGGCAGAGTAAGCGGCTTCAATGAAGATGTGGAGTACGATACAGATCTCCAGCACGAACATAGTGTACAGAACATTGTCCCATTTGGTGAGGCCCCACATTTCCAAATGACCTGCGAGGAGATACGAAATGGTGTAGAGAACATTGTCCCATTTGGTGAGACCCCACATTTCCAAATGACCTGCGAGGGGATAGAAAATGGTGTAGAGAACATTGTCCCATTTGGTGGGGCTGGGGCCTTACATTTCCAAATGACTTGCGAGGGGATAGGAAATGGTGTAGAGAACATTGTCCCATTTGGTGGGGCTGGGGCCTTACATTTTCAAATGACTTGCGAGGGGATAGGAAATGGTGTAGAGAACATTTTTCCATTTGGTGAGGCCCCACATTTCCAAATGACTTGTGATGGGATAGAAAATGGTGTAGAGAACATTGTCCCATTTGGTGAGACCCCACATTTCCAAATGACCTGCGAGGGGATAGGAAAAATATTGCCTAATTCTTCTTTACGAATCTGCAATAGCAAACCATTTGAGAGTCTATTGGATGAAAAGCTGCGACTGTTCCTAAACGCTCCAAATTTCTAGATGACTTGCGAGGGGAACGGAAACCCCGCGGTTTCAATATAAAATATAGTCTGTGTTATTTTGATGCATACGCTATGTTACTATAAATTTCATTAAAATCCGTTCAGTAGTTTTTGCGTGGAAGAGTAATAAACATCCATACTTACAAACTTTCACGTTTATAATATTATTAAGATTTGTTTTCATAATAAAATAAGTACAAGTGGTTTACAAGTAAATGTAATCATAGATATCGCCCAGTAGAGTCCAAAAGTGATCCTGCTCTCGACGGTGGCCTCGTCCAGCGGCTCGTTGGCCCAGTACGGGGAGTGAGTGAAGTTCGTCACCACACAGTAGCCAAATCTGTAATCAATATGGTATCACTTCTGTTTTTTCAGAGTATTGGGGCACAAAATTGCTTATAAATAGTGACTCGGACAAAAAAGGGCATTACGCCAGATTACTTTCATATAAAAGATAGTCAGTCTTTGTTTTAGTGCAATATATATGTTAATAAAAATCTATTTTGGTACAACAACCCTATAATATCTATACTTTATTAATTATGTGTATTAAATGAACATATACACATTATTTAAGTGTAACCGTCATGAATCACTAAAAGCTGGCTAGCATGGTAATGGGTAATGGATGGTAGCGAAAAATATTAATATAAAAATCATTTCAAAGCGGCTAAAATATCCTACATGAATGATTTTTGATTTAATTTGAATGTCAAATTTGTCTCAGGAAAAAAATGAATACAAAAAACTTGTCGAAAGTGACTCACTTTAGTCGCATTTGAAAAGTTTTTTCTTTTTCCTATATGAATGATTTTTTTTATTTGATTTGAATGTCAAATTTGTTTCGAAGATAAAAAAAACAAATTATATGCTTAGGATGCGTGTTAACGTAACTGGAAGCACATGAAGCCCTGCTGCAGGGCGGCTATCAGGTAGCAGGCAATCAGCAGCAGCAGCGTGTACGACATGAACCTCAGCACGTTACTGTGGTACACGCACACGTCCTCCAGCATCTTCAGCACACGGAACACCTGCAATACGACGGCTTCAGTAGTCCAGTGGTTTAGTAAACCACCTTACTTCCAATGGTCGCAGTTTCGATTCCTCGCACGGCACAAACATTCATGAGTCTAATGGCTATGTGATGGCTCCCTACAACGGGTAGCTATAGGAAGGGGATTGTCAATGTCAATGTACCATATCAGGTCAAACTCTACGCGGTTCCTCCTGGAAACCAAGTGATTTCATCACGATGGGCTAACTGACATAACCTCATTCTCATCCTATCACACTCCACTGGCGGGACTCCGCACAGCGTATCCCGTTCCCACAGGCGAATATACCATTCCATTTCATTCATTAAAAAATAACGGGTAGCTATAATGATGCACAGTTTTTTTATTTTTTATGCCATACATTAAACCAATTCATCGAAAAATATACCTTAGGCAATCTCAGCAACTTATTAATGCCAGCGAAATGCCCTTCACCGATGAACTCGAAAATGGGTAACGTGCTGATCACGTCCAGCACGAACCAGTGGCTGCGCATCTGCTGCGAGGATGTCTGTGCGAACGATATTGGCACACCTGTGCACCAGTAACTGGCAGTGAGAGAGTGAAAGGACCTTAAGAATTGGGACTTTTTTACATACGATAATGAAATAATACGCTAACAGTTTACGCTGGCGGGGCACCAGTGGAGGATGATAGGATGACCATGAAGTAAGGTCAGTTAGCCCATCATAGTAAGTTTTCCAGGAATTTAACATGATGGTCTCCAGAGGAAACCGCGAGGAAATCAACCTGAGATAGGGCATTGCTAGCATGGGTCTATTAGTCCATATTAACAATCCTCTATCCCTTAATAATTGAGATTATTTATCAACATTGCATCATGGAAACCAAAATGCTTACGTTCTACTGAATTCATCTAGATATGCTTTTTGACTTATTTTCGTCCATCTCCTCCACTGATGATCCCCAAATGTATATGCTGCTAACAATATGGACCCTGCTGCCCTAACAGGATACTATGAGAGCAAGAAGGTGCACAGCTCTATTATCACATATACACAAAGACAAACTAGCAGTGAAAATTCAATCAATTTAACAAGAGATACTTAGAGAGATATACATAACCTACAGACATTAGCCTACACAGATAAATGTATATATTTATAACTATTTGATATATTAATGAACCCCAATTCACTGTGAAGCATTATTCTAAACAAATGAATGGATGGAGTACCATTCCATTCCAAAATAGTTCTGGATACAGTCTTACAGACTCTGTAAGAGAAGCACTCTAATTAGGAAAACTAAAGGGTCATTTGACTAAATTATTCATGATGTGGGATCATACAGAACAGGTTGTTACATAGACAAAAAGGCATTCGAATTATAAAATTAATATAGATAAGAAAATATAACAACAATTTAAAAACCTGACCTTCCTCAACGTTGGCACCAGTTGAGAGGTACGCGATCAGGTCCAGTGCATACACCACTGTCATCACGTAGTCAAAGAATCTGAACTCCAGCGGCACGGTCTTCGTAAACACCAAGTAGTATGGGTGGACCTATCATAATTTACCGCAACAGAAAACATGTATCAGGTGACAGAAAATATGCATATGAAATATTATAAAGAGAAAAATGTATTTTTATCTGTTTGTCCCGAAGAAATTACTAGCCCGATTTAAAAAAGTTCTATACCATTGCTATACTGCATTATCCCGGAGTAACCAAGGGTGTATTTTTCACCACGTTTACACGGGATAAAAACTGGCCTGTTTCCTTCTCCATCCAAAGATATGTAGGTAATATCTTAAGTCTTAATAATTGATTAATTTAAGATACCAAAACGTAATATGCAAATAAGCAAAAATACTCACGATGCACACAACAACAATCAGACATGAGACAAAGGACTGCCACGCGATCTGCAGCGAGGACTCCGGCTGCAGGATGTACGGGAATGTGGACCGCAGGCAAATGGCGTCCGTTTCTTGGTTTAAAGTTGCATCCGGTCGCTACACGTGACAGCAAATTTAATAGCATTTATTTATAAGCCTCCAAATTCCATTTATCATCTGGAAATACTCATACTGTAGTCTCTCGAGAAAACCTCGGCAGGTCATTCCACAATCCAAGTGTACGCAGGAGGAAGTTCCTCTGAAATGCACTGTCCGAGAACACTTAATAGATTTATATTATCTTGTTTAATTCCACTAGTATTAGCATGTGTGAGACCACAAATATTGAGTGTGGAAACCCGACTACCGCTCCTGGAAGCGTTACAACCTTCCCTATTGGTGATCAAATTCCGACCGTTATTGAATCTACACCTATGTTGCGACACGTGTTTCACCTCTGAACGAGACATTATCAGGTATTGCATAGAGTTCGAATATAGCTTGGAAGCCTAGTGTTGACTGTTCTGCGACCAAACTGCGACAGTCGACACAAGGCTTCAAAGCTATAAAGTAATGAAATGGAGATTGTGTTAGCAATAAGACAGCCTTGTGTGTGTTTTTTCTTCAATATTTTGTTTTATTTTTCATTGTATCTACTTTTAAAATTGATGAAATAAAGCATTATAAATAAATATATAACAATTTCCTTATCCTAAACTAGATGTTTAATGAAAACCATACGAACATTTCTCATAATGTAACAGCCAGCAATTTCTAAGAAGAAATCAGTTCTAGGCAGCAGCAGGTTGCCGTTGGCGTCTTTTGCTTCTTTCAACGCCAACAGATTCCGCTTGAAGTGTAGGATACTACTCTTGTGCCTTTTAATATTAATAAAATAATGCAGTAGATAAAATCAGAGAAAACATCTCGTCCCTTACTTACATTTGGAACCAAAGGTCGTTTTCTATTGTCCCCGATACAAAAAGCTTCTCAACTTTAGAGAAACTGACTTTATTGCAAAACCATTGTACGAGAAACTAATGTTGATTTATTTGATCTGTAGCCACGACAGGTATCCTAAAGATTATCATATTAATAACTATAATCATCAACAAACATTCCGAGATCTAATAATCGTAAATTATTATAGAATTGTGCCCTAGGCTCGCTTACTTCTAAAGTGAGTGAAAATCCATAATGTATATCGGATTTTTACGGACTAAAGAATTCGTGGCTCCCTGGCCGAGTGGACATCTTTTGGAAGATGTTTCCGCACTTAAAAAAACCGTTCGAAACCTGAGGTCCGAATCTCATCCTATACGAGTTTATTACCGAGTGGACATCTTTTGGAAGATATTTCCGCACTTAAAAAAACCGTTCGAAACCTGAGGTCCGAATCTCATCCTATACGAGTTTATTATTTCGGTGCATTTATAAAATACGTTTTTGATATCTATAGCTACATAAATAACATTTTGTGGATATTTGGAAAGCTTACTTGACATCTTCGGGTGTTTTTGAATAAAAATGTTTCTTCACTCTTTCAAAATGTTCCTGGTGAAGTATAATAGCAATTATCAAGTACTGTAACAATACTATCGAATTCATTTACATCTAGTACAATATTTCACAGAAAATAGAATTAGCAAGGACACATATTAAAATTTAATTTTTCAAATATATTTTAGTTATTATCATTAAAGTAGTCAGTTAATAAACGTAAAAGGCGGCTCATCAATTTTATGTAAATGCTTTTAGAACAAATCACTTTCTTTCAAATGATGAAAATAGTCTTAAAGAAGAAGACAATTTTATAACAAAAATAGATTTAGGACATTTTAAGAAAAAATTGCTGATCTATTAAGATGATCACTTACATAGAAGGCCGCTAGAATAAGCCGTGTATGGTCAGTGCCCCTGGCGTACTTGAGAGCGACGCGCCAGAGGTCGGCAGCGGCGAGCACGTGCGCGGCACAGAACGTGGCGGCGCGCATCTCCACGTGGGCGCAGCCGCAGCCCGCGGGCCATACGCCCGCCAGTGGACTCACTACCGTGCCGCGCGTCATACGCAGGATGGCCGTGCTGTTGTCCTCTGCTGTTAACATCTGCATTGACCAGAGAATCAATCGACTCAAAGTGATCGTAATAAAAATTCGACGGCCTCAATCTAGAGGTTTAGACACCGCCTTACTTACGATGGTCGCGGGTTAAATTCCTAGCATTGTACAAACATTTGTACCCATGAGTATTATGCATGTATTTACAAAAAAGTCTGTAGAAAGTTCTTTGTTATTTCATAAACGGTTCGAGAGTAGGTTGAGGTTGTATTGCAGCTTCTATTATTATTACAAACTTATATTTAATCAATCAATCAATGCATGATAAAGAAGTTACTAGTTAAAAGGCACTAGTTCTTACTTCAATGTCTCCGTAAGTGACATATATTATCGACGACTTGGTAGAGAGCCGCTTGATGAGAGTATCCCCCGGTATATAATGTATTGTACTCATTTTCTTGGCCACTTCAGATAGAAACTCAAAGGAGAGGTCGCAGAGGATCCGACTCTAAATTCAATCATTATCTATTAGCCAAAAACAACACTCCAAATATACTTCAAATCGTCACTCCAATATGTTTACGAAGTTGACCAATTACCATCAAATAGACAGTTAATTCGTTTTTTATAACACTATGGTGGGAAACAAGCTTATGATCCATCTGAAGGTAAACAGTTACCGTAATCTATGGACGTCTGAAAAACCAGGGGTGTTACGGGTACGTTGCTGACTCTTAAGAAACCTTAACATACCTATTCTTACAAGATCTTGGAGACGAAAAGCAGTTGTGTGTTAGGACTTCTTGTATTTTTGTGCTATGTTTAAGATGTGTTTTCTCTTTTTATTGGCAACTTTCGATAGAAACTCAAAGGAAAGGTCGCAAAGCCGACTCCGATGAATTAAATTCAAACATTATTTGCAATGTAGACTATAAATAAACATAGTTAGAAATGATCAAACTAACTACCACTTTGATCAACTACATCCGCTAACAATTTTATCGTGTTTGCTCTTAATCTATTATTCTAGTTGAAAATTCTAGGTACCGAACCAGAATTAGAATACTACAAATAGGGATCCTCCTTACTAACATTGTCACAAATAGAGGTCTAATAACCCCATTGCTTTTTGTCATATAATACTTAATTTCAATAAGTAAATTTAATACACACTGCAATAAGCTAGCACAAAGTGGAAGAGGATAGTTATAACCCCATTACTTGCAATGTACCATGTCAAGTTGACCTCCACGTGGTTTCCTCTGGAAACCATCGTGATAAATCCATGGGGAATTTACCACAATGGGCTAATTGACCTGACCCCATACTCATCTTAACATCCTCCACTGGTGCCCCGCCAGCGTAAACTGTTAGCGCAGGCGGGTGCACGATTCCATTCACAGATCTAGTCGTTGTTATCGTTGTTCTTTTAATGCAATGTATCACTACATACCTTTTGTGTTGCCTCGAAGTATATATCTGCATATATAGTAGCAGAGAGAGTAGGAGGGTATGTAGGTAACAGTTGAGTAGCCGACACCGCTCGTTGCTTGTGCCAGTACATTTTATAGAATGTCTCCACTTTTTCGCGGAGATTTGGCGGAACTTTTGTTGATTTCTGAAGACGGAGTAGTCTATTTTTATGGCCTGTGTCAATTTTTATGAATGATAATGGAATGATGCACTCGCTTAACGATTTACGCTTTCGGGACACAAGTAAAGGATGAAAGATGAGCATGAGATCAGGTCAGTTAGCGCATCTTCACAAATCCACTTGGAATTTATAACGATAGTTTCCAGAAGTAACCGTGTAGACCTAACATGATACAATACTAGCTATGGGGGTCCATTACTAATAATCCCCTTCCCCCTGTCGTCTAGTGCAGTGAACATAAAACTCCACAATTAAACATTTTTTTTTATTCTTTATTGCACTTTAAAAGAGTGTACAAGAGGCGAGCATTCTCTACCAGCTAACCTTTGGGTAGAACTAGAAAGCGTTGTAGGGCAGTAATGGCGAAAATTTGTGATATATATAATTTATGATATATAAATATAATATATACTTTAAAAATAAATATTTCCAAAAATAAAGGTTTCACAGAGTTTCTGGTATCTAGCCTCAGGCGAGTAGGGAATTTATTATGCTACATACACAGCGCACAGTAAATTAAGAGAGGAACGCAATATCTGCACCACATAAAACTGTCTAAGTAGGACCTAGTTGAGTATGAATTCATTCTACTCTTATTATTGGACCCAGGTGTTTTGATATTGTGGTAGCCAGATGGATTATAGTCGAGTTTGATAACCGTTTGTGCATATTAATCATTTGTTACCTGTGGTAGACTAAACATCGTCTGCATAGATTCTTATTCACGGTCTACTTAATTCAACCTCCAAACAGCTTGCTTTGTAAGCTGTGTTTCAGTTTTAGAGCGCTCTCTATTAGGCAATGGAATTAGAGGATGAGAGGTATAATACCTTATTCCTTTGGAATGGCAATGTGAGAGTGGTATCGAGGGTATTCTATGATAATCCTTAGTGCTATTCATGTATATAGGCGACAGTTACCACTTACTATTAGATGGGCTGTCTGCTTGTTTGCTATTCCAATTATATAAATAGACCTAATATGGTTTCTACAGGATCATGAAGACGAAAAGCCATTGTGTTTTACTTCTTGGATTTCTTCCGCTATATTTAGGAATTACTCACCATCTCTTTCATAATCAGCCTGTACCTCGCACGGAAAGCTTCCTCAGGCCTCATGTATATACTGATGACGAGTGTAAGCGACGCCACAGCAGCCCCAGTTACCACCAGGCAACCGGTGATCATCACCAACAGGCACGTTATACGCTCTATGTCATTTGATGGTGCTACTGACGGCCTGATGAAATACAAGTAGAATTGTAGGAAGGTTATGTTTCCCGCGCCTTTCCTAGGGAAGAGGACGAGAAGTAGTGGGTTCCGCAAAGGGAATCCGCAGAGAAGGGGCCGCTGCGCTGCTAGAGTGGGCCACCGCCGTCGGAGCCGCGAACGATGTGAATCCAGACATCGATCCCGCGACTCCGGCATATGGCGTTGGGTGACAGGCATTTCGTTGTTTTTGGTGAGTAGGGGTCTCACAGTAGCCATTGCCTATCCCGGGGCGGGCGGGTCTCCATGAGAGATTTTCTCCAAGTCAAAAAAAAGGATAAATCTATTGCTTGTGCTTGTACAAATGCTGGTAAATGTGGTTTTTGACGACCTCGCAAGGCTAATCCAAATCTTTCGATGGTCCCGGGTTGTGGTAGTGTATATTTGGTGTGTGGTTTTAAAACGCCATCTTGTTTTACGTGGGTTGCATTACATCTGCTGATATGACGCAATTAATACCAGAGAAAAACTGTTAAATTAGCTATGATGGCCTCGGTGGTTAGCAGTATAGGAGACGGCTTTTCTTCCGATGGTTCGATTTCTCGCACGGTGCAAACATTTGTATTCGTGAGTATGGTTGTTTGTATCAGTCTGGGTGTTTTCTATGTATATTATGTATGTATTTACATACATACATACAAAAAAAATATATCTAAGTATTTACATCTGTTCTCTAGTACCTATAACACAAGCTCAGCTTACCGTGGGACTAGATGGCGCTGTGTTAATTGTCCAGGGTTACTGATTATTATTATCTTTAAAAAAATACTATACAATGTTCCATTTCACTGTGTATTTTGTATGAAAATGCTATTCAGAAAATACACTTAGTAAATAAACTTAAACGGCCTTATTACAAAAAGATAAATCTGGTTTAGCACTAGTAATAAACCATTCACCAATGTATTCCTTATTACAAAATGAAATTTATCTCTAAATCGTGATTCGTCTATGGTCTAAAGTTAGACCTGCGATGCCCCTAGTTTAACAGTGGTCTAAATGCAAAAATACAAACTCCATTTTAAAAATTCTATTGTTAGTTGTAGTTTTTAGAAAAATATTTTAACTAAATTAAAAATATATTAACTAAAAATATTTAAAGCTAATTTTACGACAATAAAAACATATAAAAGACGTTAATTGTTATTTTTTCACTCATTTGACTTTGAAATAGTCATCATTCGAACGATCCAATAAAAATATGTCGCCGTTCCTTTTCTCCGTATAGGACTCCTACTTATAATTTAAAACTGATTTTCAGCCTAATAGTACATTAATAAATATTATATATTAATGAAATAGTTATAATGAAGACATAGATAAATAGAAACAAATTTATTTTTAGTTTATACATTTTTCTTTGAACTAATATTGTTGGAAACTATTTTATATACATTTTTATTGTCTATATTTTTTATAATATTATATTGTTTTTATATGACATAAGTCAATTTAATACAAAAACATTCTATCAACTACAACGGTGCTGTTTTACTTTTTGCTCGTCATCTTGATCTCCATCCTTCACATTTGGTCTTCGAGCCGACCTTTACATTTTGGTCTTCAAGCCGACCTTCACATTTGGTCTTCGAGCCGACCTTCACAGTTTGGTCCTCTATCGCCGAAGTATTTACGAGGACAATGCAAACGGGATGGAAGACACAAAAATATACGCAAGCGAAGGATACTAGCGAAATATGTTCGGAGTCTGATATGCTCGTCGCGGGTGGGTTCGGTCGGTCACCAGAAATTGACCACGTTTTAGCCGAACCCACGTTGATACTCGCGGCAAGCCACCCTGAACTTATTACGCCTATTCAGAGTCCTACGTTAAGCACCGAACGCAAGAAATATGGCTCCAGTTCTAAAGTGCATTTGTCGGGGTCGCTACAGTCATCGTCCACAGTTAGGGCACGTAGGTTGACTGTAGAGGCACAGTTAGCTCGACGATGCATGGAACGGGAACGTGAGCAGTTTGAACGTGAGCAAGAGTTCGCCATGCAGCTGGCCCAGAAAAGGTTTGAACATGAACGTAAGCTCATTCAACAGGCTAAACAAGTAGAAGAACTTGAGATGAAAGCAAGCCTAGCGACACTGAAACCAGAACGGCGCTTTAGTCGCTTGGTTAGTCCACCCCAATCTCGGACTGCGTCCTGTATAAATGACGCACTAAATAAATGTAGTTATCCGACTGTTGACAATAGTGAGCCTTTAACACCAATCCTCACACAAAAATATAGTGGTCATGATTTACCAATAGATTCAATTGCGAAACCGGTGTATGTAGAATCCAACTACGAAGCTAACCCACGAACATGTCATCGCACAATGGAACATATTGACCGTGATTTTCACACTATAAAACCATCTGAAAGAGCATCGCATCATAGCCATATTGTGTTACATGCTAAAAATCATGAAAATTCACAAGATTTTGATAACAAACCGTTTTTGACAAATAAAATTCCATCAAAACCGATTTATAACAGTTTACTTCGTTCAACGTCAAACAATGTTCCATTGTCTAGGCAACCAGCGTTGAATGAAAATAAAGAGTTGTCAAATGTATTGCCTAAGAAGTCGGAAATTAAAATTAACGTTTCAAATACAGTGTCACACAGAAAGTCACATAAGTATATAAAGTCACATATTGGTTTATCCACGTGCATGAAGATCCACGCAGCTTCTCTGAACATTGTAAATTTTTCAGCTGATTTGACAATTAACAGTTTACGACGCTTTGTAGTCCGCAGAAGCACACCAAAATTGAGACCGTTTGTTAGTGGAAACCGCAAGTTAGCCGTGTTCCACTACCAGTTCGTGAGAGACTTTGCTGATGATGTGTACTACGACTGGAAATTTATACCACCCGATTTATCACTAGGAATCGAGTAGCTGATGTGGCCTCCAAAGGGGGCACGCTGAGGAAACCCGTGCTGGACAAAAAGGCCCTACTCCATGAAGACATAATCGTGTAGCAAATTGCTACACGGGTGGGACTATGTTGGAAACTATTTTATATACATTTTTATTGTCTATATTTTTTATAATATTATATTGTTTTTATATGACATAAGTCAATTTAATACAAAAACATTCTATCAACTACAACGGTGCTGTTTTACTTTTTGCTCGTCATATTGATCTCCATCCTTCACAAATATTATTTTTGATCTTTTCAGTTTTCTGGTAAAATGGAACGTAATTGTACGGTGACAGACATGAGTGACTGATTTCTGTATATGGAATACATAATGAACGATTTAACTGTAGTACTAAGTAGTCCTCTGTTAGATCTGGATTCGTAATAATGTTAGGTTTATTCCAAGTATTAACTTTAGGAATGGTTTAAACCACGACCATTTAGACCACGTTTCGTCCGAGTTTTAACAGATTTTTTGTAATAAGACCGAAACGGTCTAGCACACCGCACCGCTTTACGTCCGATGGTCGCGGGTTCGATTCATCACACGGCACAAACATTTGTATTCATGAGTATGATTGTTTGTATCGGTCTGGGTGTTTTCTATGTATAATATGTATGTATTTACAAAAAAAAATATCTATGTATATTTATTAGCTATCTAGTACCCATAACACAAGCTTTAGCTAGCTTAACTTGGGTCTAGATGGCGCTGTGTGAATTGTCCGGAGATTATTATCATTAATATATTATTAAGACTTTATACAAAATCCATTACAAGTAACCACTTTCAGCGGCGCAACATATATATCTAGGTAATACATACCCAATAGGTATGAACATTTTGTTGACAATATACACTGCAAACAGGAACTGACTGGCAATATCGTCCTTATGACCATCGTAATAAAGATTGTCATGTTGCACTTCATACAGAGCACGCTTCCATGCAGGGGCCTCTGTGTATTCGCGCTCAAACTGCATAGAAATATATAAATAATATTCGTATGTACAATACTTATTTTATAATTAGTTACCTATATTATAACAGTTAGGATTATAGAGTATAGTGTTGTAAAGCCGAAGCCGGGTAGAATATTCTAGAAACTGAATCACTTGTATAAAGAAATAAAGTGAAAATGGTAAAATAATATTATGACTCATATCTTAAGATCTCCCCATCGATAACACACTCATCGAGAGAGGTTGAGATGGTACGGCCAAGTAATGAGACGAGAAGAGAGTCATATAACCAAAAAAGTCCTTAACCTTAAACCGGCTGGTCAGGGGCGGATCGTGAATTTGTGGGGCCCTGGGCTAAATCAACTTAGGGGCCTATTTAATTATAAAAATACTCAACTAAAAAAATACACCGCCCAAAAACAAGCGATAAGAAATTCCACGTTCCTTTCGAGAGACGCGCACTTGCATGGGTTGATTGATCTCAGGGTTGCCAACCTTATAGGTTTTTTACATTCTAGATATTTTTTTATATCTTAAATATCGTTTCAGTGGGGACTGGGACCTTTGTATCCTCGGGGCCCTGGGCTACAGCGCAAAAAGTCCTTAGGTAGATCCGCCCCTGCAGCCGGTGTTAAGGTTCAAAGAGACGAGAATGACCCTTACTAACTTGGTAGTCCGTCATCAATAACCAAACCAAAAGAAAACTGAAATAAACGACTCGACGACTAGTCCTTCTTCACCCGGCTCCTGGTCTGGATAGGTTTGCCTAGTGAAGGACTAGGAGAGCCAATCCCAAATAAAATGGGAAAAATCTAGGCAGAGAGAGAAGATTTTGACTCTTATAAGTTAGTGATATTTGGTAGTTTGTTTAAAAGAGCCACGCGATATGGTATGTTAGGATTCACATCGATATTGTCGAAAAATCTGATATTTTTTAAATATTAACAGAAGGTAGTTTCTTTATTGTTCGGTATCGTTAAACTAGTTGCGTATAACCCCCACTCATATCTTCTCTGTATAAAAGGAGGGTTTTTGTAAGATGTGCTGGTTGTATTTTAAATGCTAAATTGAATTGTGTTAGAGACATAGTTAAATTAATGCTATATAGTTGTTATTTTATTATAATACATACTTTTACTAGTACCACAGATAATATAATATTACATACTAGTACATAGAGTTATATATCTTACATAAATATTTACCTATAGATATAAAAAATAGCATACCTCGTCAACATGAAGCCAGATAATGGCCCAAGTTACTCTTAACACGAAAAATATGTAGCAATACTTGAGAGTAGTGCCAATAATATTGTCTTTGAGGTAGTAGTCACTTAATTGCCCTTAAAAAAACATATCAAATCAAATTAAAATATATTTATTCATGTATGTCTATTACAGACTCTTGTCATATAATATCCTTAATTCAAGAAACCTTTCGCGTGGATACATCTGTACATATAAATAAAATTGGAGTGTCTGTTTGTAATATTGAAATAACCGTTTTTTACTACATGCATCTATATTAATAATTTCGTCAAGGGGTACGGTAGACTCGAACGAAACCTTATGTGAATAACAAAACAAAAAAATATTGATTTCGAGTCAACAATATATATCCGCAAAATTCGGATTATGGAGTATTTCGTTAAATTCTAATGACACTGACAAACAAAATTGTCGTCGCCATCTTTGTCACTAGCTAACAACCAATCAACAAATCGCGTGCGTACGTAGTCAGACGTTATCTGTTTGTTCCGGTTAATCTATGAAATGGCTGGACCGATTTTGATGGGACTTTTTTTGGCTGGCTGATGTAATAAGGAGTAACTTAGGCTACTTTTATTTTAGAAAAATTCTCTAATTAACTTTTTTGTTAAATTCCACGCGGACGAAGCCGCAGATACAGCTAGTAATAAAGTTTATAAATATTGGATTAGTGAATTCATTGCATCGCTTTTAAAATGTAAACATTAACTAAAATGGAATGACTTTCCCGCCGTAATTTTTATTTTCGTCTGGCTCCGACAATTCTCCCAACATTTCATTTGTAATTTAGGTACTTTTTTAAAGTAAGCCAAGCCAAGCCAAGCCATAAAACTGGCTTGGCAAGTAATAATTTAGTCTCGTGCATTGTTGCCAAATGACTGCCTTTCCCCTCAGTAATGAAGTCAGCTAGGCAATAGGTACTCTCGTCCTAACATCTATAAAGATATCATCATAAACTATTTTCTCCATATATCCTTTTTTTTTTCATATTCGTCCACACCCTTTTCAATGATAAAACAGGCAAAGATTATCCATAATCTTCCTTGTTTCTAAAGTACTTTTTAAAGAGCAGGGAAAGGTGAGCTGTGAGATTAAAGCTTTGTCTTTAGAATCTTTAAAGTCTTTAGAAGAATACATAAAGCTGTATGATGATCGTCTTCTGATTAGGAAAATAATAATATTAATAGTTTAATAATCTAGAATATTAGGTACAATAATGTTCAATATTAGATTTTCTCGACTCAAACTACATTACCAACTGGCGGTAGGTTTGACTTGTCATAAATGACTATAATAGACCTACATTAATGATGTTTTATTTCAATATAGTAACTACCGATGGATCTACCATCGGATGAATTCAATACTTACAAAGAAATTTAAACGGTCTGTGCAACCTCAGGTAATAGCATACCAATTTGAACTCCTTCTGTCTGTTCACTACTAGCACGTAATGGAAGTACGACGCCAAGTCTATCAGGAAGCGAACTGTAATCCCAGAAGTTTTTTTTTTTATTTCAGATGTAAAAAAAACGGTAATTGAAAAGCTAGATACAGGCTTGATTAATTAATCTGTATAAGAATTTCATTTTCATTCCCGCATATTTGCAAATATTTACATATTTGCATAAATTTATTTAAAGTATTTGTGTGTATGTGCAAGCCCATCTCAATTAAAACAAAAGAATCATTATGTAAAACTGTGTGAACTTTTATTTTAGAAGCACTGTAAAATAATGAATTTTAGTTCAATTCTCATAAACAAGAGCAATGTCAAGCAAGCCGGAAAGGAATGGCACAGACCAATGTTTTCCCGCGTTTTTATAAATGAATTAATAAATCGCAGTGTCGCACCGGCGAACCGAAGGTCATATGTTACTGAATAAGCAATCACTATGCTTTATATTATATATTTGTAAATTTGTGCGAGGATTTTTACAAACAAAATGGCTACATAAGTCACATGCGAGTCACATGTCGTCACATGTAGTCACATGTTGTCTGACGACCTCCGTGGTCTAGCGGTCTAACACACCGCTTTACGTCCGATGGTTGCGGGTTCGATTCCTCGCACGGCACAAACATTTGTTTTTATGAGTATAATTGTTTGTGTCGGTCTGATTGTTTTCTATGTATAATATGTATGTATTTACAAAAAAAATATATCTATGTACTTATATCAGTTATCTAGTACCCGTAACACAAGCTTTAGCTAGCTTAACTTGGGACTAGATGGAGCTGTGTGAAAAAAATGCGAGCACATCAACGGCAAAAGCGGAGTTGAAGACAGTCGCCGTGGCCGAAATTGGCCGGGATTACATCATCGTCATCATTTGTAAATATTGGTTTTAACGCCTTGCTTCTATTCACTCCTTAATCATCCATTGACGTCATAATTTCTGACAATAATAAGACAAATACTAACATAATGTACAGTAATCCACATCGACGATCTCAACGGTGACAAATAGATCATACGCTATACCCAGCACGTGAATTGCATATATGATGTTATACAACACATCCGCAAAATCTAAGTAGGGATGTTTGTACTCGGCGGCGACCCAGATAATCGCCAACAGCGCCAAAATGCATATTAGGCAGTTCCAAAACGAATCCTCGGGAACGGAATGAAGCCAGCGGAATAATCGCTCCCTGGTCCACCAAGCTGGATACTCCAGCTAAATAATAATACAACAATAATAGGATATTGACCTGTTTTGTTCCAGCACTGCCACAGTTAGGAAACTCATATGTAATCAATTCTTTAACGGTACATAGCAGTACTTTATTTGTGTGTTCTGTGGATACATCGCTACTTGTGGGTATGTTAGTCTATTTACTTGTACTGTATAACTACAACTGAAACTAGTAATACTATTGGCGAAGATTATTAATTGGCATAGGACAATTTGGTATGACAAGTAACATGTAAAATTACACCATTAATCTTCCTAAAATAAATAAAATAATAATACTCGTAATATACAAAATGTACTAATCGTAAAGTACGATTATTAATTCCAGTCAGTAAAATGACAAGTGCAACTGTCACTGATACAAAAAAGGGTGACCCGCTACAATAGTGATGTTTGGCAATCAATAGACTTAGACATTTAGTCACGCTTTATTTTATTAGTATATATCGTATTAGTACATATCGTATTAAATAATACGATTTTAGAAATATGGACCTTACCAGCATATTAAAATTTCTCACTATAACAATATTACAAAAGCTGGGAAAAAATGTAAAAAAAGAGATTCAGAGGAATTAATACTAGAATTTTTATTTATATAAAGGCAAATTGATATTGAATAAAAAAAATGTAATCTCGACTAACTTTTAATTGTAAAAACTCGATTCTACCACATCACTATTTATTTGGGACTAAAAACCTGCAACACTGGAAATGTCATTTTACTGACTGGAATTAATAATCTTACTTTAGATGTAAATATTATACTAGTCATTTCATGTAGGTACTGGCTGTGCCTGCAGTTAGATATAGCCGCGTGAAATTTATAGCGTATGTGTTATTCTTATGTATCTATGTATCTGTAAGTTGTATTCTGAAATTAAATTAAATTGTTGCCAGATCTGAACTGATGTAGCTCTAGCCGAGCTGAACCGATGATGATACATTTACATATACATTTTACGATGATACATTTTTAATCTGGCACATTAAATTATTTAATTTAATGTGCCAGATTAAAAATGTACTAATGTAGATTAAAAATGTACTACATAAATATTTTTTTTTAACTTTACCCAAAAAGCAAATATCTTTCTTTATTCTGCGCTAACGATTTAAGCCCGCGGGGCACCAGTGGAGGATGGTAGAATGAACATGAGGTCTGGGCAGTTAGCCCATCTTGGCTAATTCACCAAGAATTTATCACGATTTTATGGTTTCCAGGGGAAACTGCGTGGAGGTCAACCTGACATGGTATATTGCAATAAGATCATCAATCCACATTACTAACACAACCCTTTTCCTCCAATAAGCTATATTACCTACTTGCATATAAGTAATGAATATTTAAGAATATTTTGTTACGTTTTCCATTACAAACCAACAAAAATCTGTTCTTTTTGTAATACAAGATTAAATAAATCGTTGTAGGAAAACTAACTTCATTCCGATACTCAGGAAATTGGAACTCGATGTCTCTATGATAAAAACTGCTTTGGCGCTGTCTGTTAGCAGCGCTCGACCGAACTCCGGAAGGATCAGCTGATCTCGGTGAATACATCTTTTACAAAATTCTGTTATAGGAATTAACAACAATTATAAATATACACAGCACTCGTTGTTTTATACAATACTCAAATTGTAAAACTAAGTCATATAGAAACTTCAAGTTGATATGTGTCATTTGTCAGAAATATATTAATTATATATCCTTAAGTAGGTAATACAAAATATGACATATACATTTCTATCTGTATATTTGAATTTATCATTGACAACAGAGGGCGAACCTACCGCCTTCCCTAGAGTTACTTAGATTTTTATTAGTGTTTTTATCACTGGAGAGTAAGTCAGAAATTATAATTTTTTATAGCCACTATGTTATAAAAAAAGCAAACAAACCAGCTTGAGACACACCTAATATAACACGAGGGGATTTGCAAGTGCGTCGCCGGCCTTGTAAGAAGGAATAAGCTCTTTTTTTGATGATAACAACAAGGTATCAGTTCGATTTCCCATTGCTTGAAAGTGATTTCACAATGTGAAATTATTAAATTCTAGATCAAGAATTAATATTTATATATAGTATGGGTAATTACTTTTTTCTCTAATGTTTAGTTCTAATTCCATAATTATAGAACATGGTTATAATGTAGGAAGTCAAAGCCACAAAAATAATAAAAATATTTATTATAAAGAAAAAAAAACTTAATAAAACATTTTATTGTACAATTATACTATTTAAATCCGTTTCCATGATATCACACAAAATACAAATAAAATAACTGACAAACCTCTTCCAAATTATCTAGAGTATCGAATATGACACGTTTGGTCCTGTGACACTTACAGGGCGGGCCCTCGTCACCGAGCTATTCATTCTATAACCTCCAAGAACATGTGTACAAAATTTTAGGATGATCAATTCAATAGGTTTTGCGTGAATGCGTAACAAACAACTTTTACATTTACAATATTAAGGATTATCTTATCTGTGGTAATAATGTTATCTGTGTCTATGGTAATATACAAATATGGACTCATGGCTATAAAAGACGCATTAAGTTAAACCGTGTTTTTTTTATACTACGATGGTGGAAATCAGGCATTTGGCCCATCTGATGGTAAAAGTTATCGAAGCCTGATTTCTAGTAAGTAAGAATCTCACACATTCCATCCCTTCTTTCTGCGGGTGGATAAAGTTTTAATTTTATATTTTAACTGGTTAAAAAATGATTACAGCCAAAGTATCTGAAATATAATTACTATCGATATTTTCCCACACTATTTTTTGTTTTTTTAAATATTTTTTTTTATTTTGGTATTAAATAGTGTATGAGAATTCATAAATGAGCTACAATTTTAAAATACATATGCCATAACCAAACCGTGTTATAATGTCCGGGCTATAGGTTAGTCTTCGTAAATGAGCAACAATTTTAGTGTTTTATATGCCATGACCAAAGTTATAATGCCAGGACTATAGAAAGTTAGTTGCCGTTGCATCGACGTCCCTATGTTTCATATGCTATGACCACACAAAGTTATAATATCAGGACTATAGAAAGTTCTTTTGTTTTTCGACTTCTTTTGTTGCTATAAGTTCTTGCTTGTTCGAAATCGTATAAAACACTCAAGAAGTTTCCACTATTTTTAACTTGAGCCCAAATATGTTATATTTAGAATACAATATTTTAGATCTTATATTAGTTAATATCATTATTTGAGAGCCCTAATTCGCTAGTGCGTTACTATTGAAAAATTTATTGTTTATTGCCTTACCCCCATTGCATGCAAACATCAGTCATTGCAACTCATGTTGTGGCATTCGCTAGTATTATTTAAATAATTAAATTGCTAACTTCATAGTAACTCCATGGTTGCAATCGAAATTCGTTCTAACTCAACACTCTACATATATGTATATTGACATAGTTTACAAGTATGTATGTATATCAGTTCGCTTTAACTTTATTCTGTAGGTATTCTTTTCGGAAGTCTTTGTTCAGGCGCAACCCGATCTTGGTCCTGATCCACTCTGGCGCCAGTTTTATGAAGAAATACTGGAACAAATTAATTATGTTTAAAGAATTTTAGTTAGCTAGTTACTAATTAACTAGCCGTGCCAGCGACTTCGTCCGCGTGGAATAACCGATTACACGTTGAATGACGAATTTCCATACAAACTTTGATCCCCTATTTTATTTTATCCCCGTAAGTCTAAAATTTTTATCAACTTTGAATATCATATTTATTTAAATTTAATCAACAGCCTTAAAAACCAGAAAATTGAAACTTATTGTTTCAATTTTCTGGGTTTTCGATAATTCCATGTAACCTTTTATCTCCCCTTTCAACCCCTTACATCCCTTTTATTACATTAAAATGTCCTTTCTCAGGTTGTAGGCTATCTGTGTACCAAATTTTATTTAAATAGGTTCAGTAGTTATAGCCTGAAATCGAGACAGACAGAGTTACTTTCGCACTTATAATATTAGTAAAGTAAGTCTAATAATAATGAGTCTATATCTAATAGATAATTCACACTGTTTTCATCTTCTCGTGGATAATAACAGATTGTTTGCTATTCTAGTACAATAAAAATAAAGTACTTAATGCTATAAGTACATACGATACGCATGAAGTTAGATTCTAGAGCAGCGTTTCTTAATCTTTTCAATCGATGGACCCTAAGAAATCAAGTTTTTCAAGGACCCTCTTAATAAAAAACAGACCAAATTTCGGAAAATTTGTTACAGTACTGCAAAAAAATAACTAAGTTTAATGATTACGATACTTGCGGGCACTTATTTATCAATTTAATAATCCAGAAATAAGAAGGGCGGCACAGAGACAAAGGCCTCAGGTTAAGAAAGACTTATAAATAATTCCTTTACGATTATTTCCCTTACTAGATATATATTAGGTTATATATCAGCTAAGAAGTAAAGTGTATTTGCTACTACAAACACCAACCTGTATACCATGAATCCAGAATCCTGTAGTGTTATGCACTTTACCGAGGGTCGACACAGCATACTTGGAGAACGTAGCAGCATCAGGCACGAGGAGGTTGCCCTCCATCAGTCGGTCGGAGAACGCGTTGATCTTCGTGGACACAAACAGCGGGGACAGGTGCTGGATGTAGATACCCTTGGGGGCATACTCTTCACGCAGCGCGAGAGTGAAGCTACGCACGTAAGACTGAAAAAGTGAATATATCTTTTATTTAGGAGGACTCTATAAAAACTAGTTTAAAAGACACAGACCAAGATTATTTTTTTTAATAATGCTTGATTCATGACTATGGATACAAGTCTTTCAGTCGAATACATTTTTGTAATGAATTGAATAAGAAGTAAGAGTGTGTCCACACTATAAAATTTCGATGTGGGTATTCCTCAGACCGAATAGGTCTATCTCTATCCAGTGACCTTGTGTCTCCCCTCACCTAAGTGCGATAGCAATGCTTTCAATTGAAATTTTGCAGTAATATATATTTTGTTTTTTACACGTTAGGTTTACTATTTTAATAATTATTACAGTGAATATAAAAGTACTGTTTTCGTTATTCTGAAAATTCATTGTAATTCCAAAGTATTGCAAATAATTCCCAATATTTATAATATCTTTGATTGTTTAAGCGAATGAGTTAAAGATATCTTGCTGTTGTGAAAGTCGACTTTTTCATTATGTCTAATTCTAAAACAACATATAACTTGCTCAAAGAAAATCTAACTAGTCTAAAACATTGATATTAGTTAGCCTTTTATAAAGGCAATTGTTCTTCTTCTTATATCTTCTTCTATGGCAATTGGTCGTTATTTTTATTGTTAATTAGCTGTGCCCGCGACTTCGTCCGCATAAAATGAAGATACTTCCATATAATCTTTCATATCACCTTTAATTCTCCCTTTCAACCCCTTAAAACCTTTTTTCGCTTTAAAAAGTATGCCTATGTCCTTTGTCACAGTCTAGACTATCTGTGTACCAAATTTCCTATAAATCGGTTCAGTGGTTTTTGCGTGAAAGCGAGACAGACAGGCAGACAGACAGAGTTACTTTCGCCAATTAGTAAGGATTGCCACTTGCCATCAATGTTGACATAATTGGTTGCCATGGCTGTTTGTTCCGACTAATCTCTGAAATGGCTGGACCCATTTTGAGGGGACATTTTTTGGCGGGTAGCTGATATACTAAGGAGTAACTTAGGCTACTTTTATTTCAGAAAAATAAAGTTATATTCCACGCGGAGGAAGTCGCGCGTATAGCTAGTTAACTATAAGAAATTACCTTAGTGGCAGCATACACCGTCATCAGGGGCAGGGGCTGCAGTTCAGACCCTGAGGAGACGTTGACGACGGCGCCTTTGCCTCTGCTGACCATGCCTGGTAATACCATCCTGGTCATGGCGGTGACAGCGCCCACGTTCACATTGATCAGCTCCCACATTTTGGGTAATGGAATCTCACACAACCGCATGGGATGTTCATAATTCACACCAACATTATTCACTGAAACAAGACAGAAGACCGTTGGCCTGTCTAGAACTGCAGTGGCGTCAAGAGTTGAACGTGTGTCTAAACCTGTACTATCAGGTGCCTACAAGATTTGGGTTGGCAGGGAAATACGAGCGGTGAAGGTGAGTGTTCACGTACGTCCGCAAAAGAGCCACTTAAACTTACACCAGGGTCACATGTCTACGGAACTGCTTAGATTTTCCTTTCTGCCATACATTGAACATATTAAAAGAACTATGTCTCGCTATGATTAACTGAACAAATTAACAAATAATACTCGTACAATATCATTAAGTATCAATTTACAATTATAAATACACGTTTTTTTTCCAACTTCTGAATGAAAAACTTCCGTAAAAGTGAACTTACGAGTATAATTCGTAGAAATGTCCCTAAAAATCAAAGAAATAAAACGATATATGAAATATATTGCAATATTCTAATACCAAACGAAAGTGTGAAAGTGAATTAAGAGATTGAGTGTTTCTTTATTTTCATGCCTTAATCATTAAGGCTTGACTAATAATTATGAATTTGGCATAAAATTCATGGTAGTATAGCATCAGGGACGGACCGTCAATCATAGTTTATTTGGAAGAGGTTGCGGGTAGAAACTAGTTTAAATATAACGGTAATTATTGCTGTGTGTCTTACCTAAGATGCCTATGGGTAAATCTTTCAACTCCTGTTCGATCATAGCGTACACTTCAGCACCTAAACTGAAGTCGGCTACTACAATTTTCGTCTTCACCTTGTGCTCCCGCTCTGAAAATTCATAGACATAACTGTTTGAGATATTTAGTTATATATTTTTAGTTTATATCGTGCAAACTAGATGGCGGTATAAGAAAATACAAATGACGCTGTTAAGATGTTTTTTTCACTGAATATTTGTCTCACACATGCTAATAGTAGCGGACATCTCCGACCGACCTCCGTCCAATTCAAACGGGGATCGAAATTACGACGGCCTGAGCCGAAGTTCGAACCCCTAGCGGTGCCCTCAGACTAAAGTCGTATCCGTCAGGCGGGATTTGGTCTTCAGCCGCTCTATACGTCCTTCCGCGCGTTTGGAGTGTCATCTGCACTCGCTCCTATCATCCGGGGAAGCTGTAAAGGCCATCGGCGGCATTAGAGTAGTCCGAAAAAAAGATGGCCTTTCGCAAAATAACTAATACGATCTTCTTTCTTTTCAATGGCTACTAAATGTATTTTCCCCAAAATATTGCGACGACTTTTGCGCATTCTATTGCATTTTTTAGATCTTCCTTTATGCAGGATGTTGGGCACTAATTTGATAAAATATAGACAATCTGCACTCGCCCCCTATCATCCGGTGAAGCTGTAAAGGCTATCTGCGGCCAAGAGCATTAGAGTAGTCCGAAAAAAAGATGGCCTTTCACAAAACAACTAATTCGATCTTCTTTCTTTTCAATAGCTACTAAATGTATTTTCCCCAGAATATTGCGCCGACTTTTGCACATTCTGTTGCATTTTAGATCTTCCTTTATGCAGGATGTTGGGCATTAATTCGATAAAATATAGACAATATTCGGTTACCAATTTCATCAGCTACTGCCTTCAGTTTGTCAGGGTTGCGACTGATGAGGATCAGGTTGCAGCCTCGCCGCGCCAGCTCCAACGCGTACTGCTTGCCGATGCCGTCTGTACTGCCGGTTATAGCTGAAAAAAGAACATGATAGTTACTGTTTCAAATTTTTTACAAACAATGTCTGACTGGCCGGAGAAGAAGAACATGTCATCCTATCATTCAGTGGACAATGATAGGCCACCAAGCGCCAAATACGAGTATACGTGCACCATGTCATTGTATATTGTATGTCATATACGACGGCCTCGGTGGTCTAGCGGTTTAGCACACTTAGCCTTACTTCCGATGGTTGCAGGTTCGAATCCTCGCATAGTATAAACATTTATATTCATGAGTATGGCTTTTTCTATCAGTCTAAGTATCAACTATAATATAATAATTATAATATGCAAGTATTTAAGGGTAAAAAATAAAATATCCAGTACCCATAACACAAGCTTTAGCTAGCTTAACATGAGTCTATGTGGATTGTAGATGGCGCTGTGTGAATTATTATTATATTACTAATTACTAATATATATTTATTTATAAAAAAGCATATTTCAATATTTATATCAGTAGTCTAGTATCCATAACACAGGCTCTTTACTTAGTACTAGATTGCGCTGTGAGAATTGTTAAAGATTATTATTATTTCAAGATTATATTTGATATTTAATACCGTTTATAGAACCTAAATCTATTTGTTATGTTATATTCATACATAAAAAACAGTAGTATATGTACTGCCGAAGCAAGTACTATACATAAAAAACATAATTCTTAGTACATTATCTGTGCTTATTGTGTGAAAAGAAAACCACAGATTAAATAGAATGGAACAGATTAACTTTCTCAACTGCAATGGCAATAAGTAATTACTACAATGTCTTCTACTCTTTTTATATTTTTTGTGTATTCTACATTACATCCGCGTTTTCCTCCCGATGCTTATATACTCATGTTTGCACCGTGCGAGGAACGCAACCTACGACCATTGCAAGTAAATCGGTGTGCTAAACCTCTAGACCAGCGAGGACAGTAATAAGTGACAAAGACAATTATGGAGACATATTATAAGAGTGACTAGACCTAGACTAGACCTACATGTGTGGCCAATTTACTGTCAAAAAAAAGAACGAGCCGGTCATTTGAGACCGAATCGCTTTCTTATACTTACACATCGATTAGAAATAGAAATAATCTTTATTCAAATAAACTAATTACAAGCACTTTTGAATAGTCATATTTTGATTCTACCACTCATTCGGAATGCAGATTCATCACAAGAAGAATGAGCAAGAAACTTGTGTGTTGCTCTTTTTAATATATGTTTTTTATATAAATAATTACAGTATAACAAGTAAGAGGCATGCTATAATCAACATAGAAATTATTGTAAATATTCATCAATATACATAATATAAATAGCCTTCACTGGACTCATCATTTCACCCCCTCCTTCCGCTATTATTTGTTTATTGTGAGTACCAGACAATAAACAAATAATAGCAGCTCCAACATAGCCGCTAAACACGAATAAAGATACTTTGAATTTTAATTTGAAAATATTCTGGCGAAATTTAACAAACAAAAAAGTAATTCAATTGAGTTTCTTGCCAGTTCTTCTCAATTGGATCTATATACCGAACTGGACGGTAGGGAAAAAATAAAATTATAATGTAAAAATTTGACGTTCATAAGCGGCTAAAATGTCCTACATGAATAAATGATTTTTGAATTTTGAATTTTGAATGGATATTCTTGCAACATTGAAAGTATTTGAATAATCAAGGTCTGTACTATTCAAGACTTTATATAAATTTACTAGCTTTTACCCGCGGCTTCGTTCGCGTTAATTTATTCCATTATTTTTCAGGAAGGAATGGAATTTATCAAAATTATTTCTTAGGAGATGCCTACGTTATAGTAGCTTTATGCATGCAAAATCTCAGCCCGATTGGTTTAAAATTGACAAGGTTTCATACAAACTTTCATCCCCTATTTTATCCCCTTGGAGGTAGAATTAATCAAAATCCTTTCTTAGAGGATGCCTACGTCATAACGTCTACCTGCATGCCAAATTTCAGGCCGATCCGTCCAGTAGTCTGGACTGTGCATTGATAGATTACTATGTCAGTCACCTTTATTATATATATTTAGATTTCCAACATTATGAAGAAACTGTTATTGATTTTAAGTTTTTGTACTTTATGATGGGCTAAAAAGGGCTTGTATCCAGAGCTGTAAAATATTAATAAATAAAAAAGATTAGTTGCACATGGCACAGAATAAAAGTAGAGTTTTCTTTGCTCTTTGACAGATAGTATAATTACTTAAACACGTCTTTCACCTAATGATCAGGCATTAAGTAATTAAAATACAGAAGTTATACCAAAGATGGCTGTATAGGCTTAGAGTGTACCTTTCCTATATCGGATAAATAAATTAAAAAATATATATCAGGCTGTGGCGAATTTACTATCATCGTGTGGCAACGCAGTTGCCTACTTTCGATGGAACGAGAAAAATAACTAATAATTCGAGAGTCAATTTCTTGTATACATCAATTGTAAATACTTTATCAATATAAATGTGTACACAGCCACAACCTGATCTCACTCTCTTCACCTCCCTCTTCCTGGTGATGCTGCTACATGAACATACAAATATACAAATCAACACAATACCTAAATAATAGCGGCATCGTCATAGCCGCTAAAAGGCATTCTTACGTTAAAACACTAACAGGCAAAATATACAAGAAACATCATAATTACAGGCTATTATTTCAAAATATAGTCGCGGTTTTGCTCGTTGAAAATAGGATCAAGGATGCACCCAACTCACTACAAAGATATACATTCACAGAATTACAACTACACCCTTCACTTAGAAATAATTTCCCATAAAACTAACAGCACGGTACTTAGGTTACAATCTTTGCCTAAACGCCTCGGTGGTCTTGTGGTTTAGAACACCGTCTTACTAGCGATGGTATAGGTTTCGATTCCTCGTACGGTACAAACATATTCATGAATGTTATTGTTTGTTGTAATCTGAATGATTTACTATATATATTATTTATGTTTTTAAGTATTTTTGCAAGTTGTTTAGAACCCTATAATAATAACTCGGGACAATTCATATAGCGTAGAGGAGGGGGGGGGCAGGGAGGAGGAGGGGGGAGGATTGTTAATAATGTGGATTGATGATCCCATTCCTAGCAATGTACTTTGTCACCTCCACAAACCTCCACGCGGTTTTCCCTGGAAACCATCGTGATAAATTCTCCGAGAATTTATCACGATGGATGGACTAACTGACCTGATTTCATATTCATCTTATCATCCTCCTCTGGTGCCCCGCCAGCGTAAACTGTTAGCGCATGAGGGTGCATCATTCCATTATCATACACTAAAAAAATTTCATATAGCGCCATCTAGTTCCACACAAGCTAAACTTGTGTTATGGGTACTAGACAACTGATATAATATATGCTTAGATTTTTTTTAATACATACAAAACACCCAGATACAAACAATCATGGGCACTATGATTTCTATTGTTTAGTTAATTAAGTAACTAAATATATCCTATCTTACTCTAATTAGTTGATGCTATTAGCACAGATAACATAATATTACATACTATTAGCACAGATAACATAATATTACATACAGATACCCCATCCCATACAAGAAAATGGTTCCTTCCTAACTCGGGCTATTTTATTTCGCCGCCGTAGCCGCTAGATGTCGCTAGATCTGAAGCAGTTCGGATTACTAGTGGGTGCTTAGTAACAAAGCATGAAAATAGATGGCAGTCAATTCAGCTACATGACATCTGTTTTGCAAAGATATGTATATAATAGATATGTAGGTTACTGTATCGTGTACATCATTAGGGACGATTCAAGATTCAATGTAAATGTGTAGGTATAATATCGTTAGCCGACACTGCAGATATGGCTTATGTGCCAATGTATATACCTATTATGTTATGGTTTATTTTACATTCCATGTCTATTTTTTTGATATGTTGTAACGCGTCTGCGCTATACGTATAGCCTGATTTTGATACGTTTATACTCGTACGTATCAAAATCGGGCTATACGTTTTTTTATTTCAATCGTTATATGTATGAGACTGATTTTAGCTACAATTAATTTACTGGTATATACCTCATGTATTCTACGATGTACCCCTCTTTTACCTAATGAGAATTCCGCTATATCTTATATTGTTGGATCGTCATAAAAATAATTAAAATAAGTTGTAAGACTATTGCGCTGCGTGCGGTATTCAACGACCAACTGCCGCCGGCCTCCCGTTACCCAACCGCTACCGGGGTATCTGTTGCTTAGCAACGAGCCAACAGCGCGAGGCTACCGGCGGGTGCGCCGCTATATATATATATCTACTTAGAGGTAGAGTATTACAATATATAAATTTTGTATCACAGTGTTAGTTGCCATATTTCTCCCATGATGAAAATTGATATGTATACTTGCCAGGTCTGAGGTAGGGTTGTTATCTAATTTTTATACCCCTAAGTCATAGGGGTGGCCTACCCCGAAAAAATATTTTTTTGTATTATGGACAATTTTTTTTTTATTTATAATGTTACATTGAAAATACATACACGCCTAAATTTTCACCCGTCTTTCACCAACCCCTATTTTTAATAGCGATATTCTTAAAAATATTATAAATGCTAAAGTAACTCAGTCTGTCTATTTGTCTCGCTTTCACGCCAAACATTCTGAATTACTCGTATATCTTTCAATATCTTTAGCGGTATAAACCAGGTTATGTACTACTACTAGTATTGTTAGTGAGGGATAAAGTTGATGAACAAAAATAAAACAATATTCGTATTAAAAATATATTCATCTAATATTTTTGGCATTATTTTTAAGTTTCTTCCAAATACAAGGGGTCTGACATGGGGTGTTATGTACCTACATTAAAAGATACTTTTTGACATGTATGAAATGTATGAAAGAAATGTATGTACCTACATTAAAATATAATTTTTGAAATGTATGAAAGTAATGTATGTACCTACATTAAAAGATAATTTTTGACATGTATGAAATGTATGTACCTACA